ATGACGATGATGAGGAGGCGGCGAAGGACAACACCGTAAGAGTGGGGGTGTGTATGAGAAGGATGGCACTGCTTAACTATATTGTGGATTTCAGTGTATTCTAGCACGCGGCTGAAGGCATGCGACCACTGACCAGGACCAATCATGTGAAGAGATAGGAGGAGGAGGAGGAGGAGGAGGAGGAGGAGGAGGAGGAGGAGGAAAAGGAGGAGGAGGAGGAGGAAGGAGGAGGAGGAGGAGGAGGAGGAAGGAGGAGGAGGATGAGGAGGAGGAGGATGGAGAGGAGGAGAGGAGGAGGAGGAGGGGAGGAGGAGGAGGAGGAGGAGGAGAGGAGGAGGAGGAGGAGGAGGAGGAGGAGGAGGAGGAGGAGGAAGAGGAGGAGGAGGAGGAGAGGAGGAGGAGAGGAGGAGGAGGGGAGGGGCGGAGGAGGAGGAGGAGGAAGGAGGAGGAGAGGAGGAGGAGGCGGAGGAGGAGGAGGAGGAGGAGGAGGAGGAGGAGGAGGAGGAGGAAGGGGAGGAGGGGGAGGAGAGGGGATGGAGGAGGAGGAGAGGAGGAGGAGGAGGAGGAGTAGGAGAGGAGAGGAGGAGGAGGAGGAGGAGGAGGAACGGAAAGGAGAGGAGGAGGAGGAGGAGGAGGAGGAGGAGGAGGAGGAGGAGGGGGGAGGGGGAGGGATGGGAGGGGAGGGGGAGGGGGAGGGGGAGGGGAGGGGGGAGGGGGGGAGGGGGGAGGGGGGAGGAGGGAGGGGGAGGAGGGAGGAGGGAGGAGGGAGGAGGGGAGGAGGGAGGGGGAGGAGGGAGGAGGTAGGAGTCCAGACCTGTCAAAACCAATGCACAGTGACGGCGGGATTGCGAGCGTTGTGTGTGTGTGTGTGTTGTGCGCGTGCACCTGCAATCAATCACATTGCATTTGCTTTTGACAGGGATGGTGGTCGTGCGCGCACCAGGCAGCATGTCGCCCCCCCGCCGTCCCTGGCAGAGTGAACTTCGAATTTTGTTGACAGGGATGGTGGGCCTGCACGCAGCAGGCAATACGCCGGCACCCCCGCCGCCCTTGTCAAAGCTCAATGCAAAGTGATCGTGGGGTGCCCGCGCATAATCCGATGTTGGCCGCGGCGTACAGCTTGTGTTGTATTGTGAAAGGGTTGTTTTGTGCACGACAGGCCACATGCTGGCACCCCCGCCGCCCCTCTCCACCAAGAGGGCAAAGTGCTCGCGGCCCCCACGAACCTAATCCAAGTTTTTGTTACCGCAAAGTGCATGCTGCATTATTTTGGCAGGAATGGTTGAACGGGTGCGTTGTTCCTGTTCGTCGCTGGTCAAGTGGGGGAGGGGGCGTATCGAAGACGCCTCCGGCGAATCACCGCCGCCCCCTGCTTTTTGGGAGGCCTATGTGGCCGAAAGCTGGGCTACAGCTATCGGACCATCTGTTCCCGCAGCTGTTGTTGAAACCTCTCGGGGAAGAGAAGATCAAATCATCCAAGAGCCTTGGGCAAGTGAGTGATCTGTGCCTCTTGTTTCCCTCTTGGGTGTGCTCTTGGAGGCCTCTTGGGGCGATTTCGAGGGCCCGTGGGCCGTCTGGAGGCCACCGTGGGCGTCTTGGAGCAATATTGGAGAGGCCTGACGGCCGGTGCCGCCGACCCTGATCGAAAGGGCTAGGAGTGGGAGGAGGAGAAGAAGAAGGAGGAGGAGGAGGAGGAGGAGGAGGAGGAGGAGGAGGAGGAGGAGGAGGGGAGGAGGGGGAGGGGGAGGAGGAGGAGGAGGAGGAGGAGGAGGAGGAGGAGGAGGAGGAGGAGGAGTCGAGGGCCCGTGGGCCGTCTGGAGGCCATCGTGGGCGTCTTGGAGCAATATCTCGGCGGTCCTGGGACCTCCCGGGACCCTCTGGGCGGCCTCCCCGGGCTCCCTCTGGCCCGCTCTGGGGGCCCCTCCCGAGCGGGGGGGGGGGGCCCGCCGGAGGCCCGCGCGAGGCATCCTGACAGCGCTCGGCATCGCCCGAGAGCGCCTGGGAAACTGGAGGTATGGGCCCGCTTCGACCCCCGATCGCTGCGGGGGGCATCGACTGCGGGGCGTGGAAACGACCACAGCCACTGCTTCTTTTCTTTTGTTGCCGCCTTCCAGCCCGCAGAAACAAAGCAGTGGGTGTGGTCATTCTCGTGGAGCCTGGCACCAGGGAAACGACCACAACCACTGCTTCTTTTTCGGCCGGCTGGAAGGCGGCGCAAACAAGAAGCAGTGGCTGTGGTCATTTTCCCGTCCCGCTTCGACCCCCGATCGCTCATAGATCGCCGACCAGGGGCCCGATTGGCCCCCCACCCCGCCCAGGGAGGTGCGAGCTCGCCATCGGGGGCCTGTCGCCGACCTCTCGACGATGCATCGCCGATTTCAGGTCGATGTGACCCCTCCCGATTTCAGGTCGTTGCATCGCCGATTTCAGTCTCCCCCTATCGTCGGGTGTGGACAGAACCCCCAACAGCGACGCGTCGATCAGTGCATTGTCTGTTTTCGGTTCTCGGGAGGGCGCCGTGGCCGTCGTTTTCCAGGCTTGCGTCCGCCAGGTTTGGGCCTCGGGTCGTTTTCGCTAAACCACGTTTTACTAAAGGGGGGTCTGTCCATCCCCGAGAGAAACTCACAAACCTTTCCGTCTCAGGGCTGCATGAGCCTTGAGGCTCTACGCTTCGTGCCAGAGGCACGGTGGTGGATAGGAGTAGGGAGCAGTGATGAGCTCACCGAAGCGGAACAAGGAGGGGTGGTCGGATGGGGCTGGGTCGAGGATCCGTCCGCTCCAGAGCGTTCCAGAACGCTCCGAGAAGGCCGCGGCGCCCGAGACATCTTCCCAAGCCGCCCGATCTCAGAGATTCTCGATCTACAGTCAAAAACACTAGTAAGGACGCGCGACTTTGCTCAAGGTACCCTTGCGTCCTTGCTCTTCCTTGCTCTTGCGTCCTTGGGGTTTTCGTCGTCCGCCGCCCCAAAAATCCCAACTTCGGCTTCCAAGGGTCTTGCGTCCTTACCGCGCGTCCTTATTAGGATTCCCGATCTATCCTCACCTCGAGTTCGCCCGATCTCAGAGCTTAGGGGAACAAAAAGTGGCATAAACATGAAGACTCGGAGGTCCGCGCGGATTTTTCGGATCGGCGCTGGACCCCCCTCCCTGGCGGCGCCGGAGGCGCCGCCGGGGGGGCCCCAGCGCCGATCCGAGGAATCTGCGCGGACCTCCGAGTTTTTCTGTTTATGCCACTTTTTGTTCCCCTAGAGATCGATCTGTTCCCACTTTTTGCCACTTTATGTCATTTTTTTGTTTATGCCACTTTATGCCACTTTTTGGTTCCCAGTTTTTTGTTTGTGCCTCCGAGTTTTTCTGTTTATGCCTCGATCTGTCCTCACCTCGAGTTCGCCCTCGTCCTGGCCTCGTCCTGGGCGGGGCCGGTGCGGCAGAGGCGGCGCTCCGAGGCCAGCGGCGCCTAGAGAGCGGAGGAGGAGGAGGAGGAGGAGGAGGAGGGTGAGGGTGAGGAGGAGGGGGAGGAGGAGGAGGAGGAAAGGAGGAGGAGGAGGAGAGGAGGAGGAGGAGCCAGCGGCTCCGAGGCCAGCGGCGCCCAGGGGGCCCAGTGGAGTGCCAGCACCATGGAGGGGGGCCGAGCGCGCAGCCCCCCCCCTGGGGGCACGGGAGCCGTCCACCGCCTCCTCTCCTCCTCCTTCCTCCCTCCTCCTCCCTTCCTTCCTTCCTTCCTCCTCCCTCCCTCCTCTCCCCTCCTCCTCCCTTTCCTCCCTCCTCCTCCTTTTTCCTCCTCCTCCGTCCTCCTCCTCCTCCTCCTCCTCCCTTCCCCTTTCCTTCCCCTCCTCCTCCTCCGCCTCCTCCTCCTCCTCCTCCTCCGGGACGAGAGGCCGTCCCTGGGGAGTGTGGCTCGTCGGGGGTGGACAGACCTCCTGCAGTCGTCCCGGATTAGTAGGTCGGCCCTGCCGAATCAAGGGTGCCTTTGTGTCCTGTGTCTCGCGGTCCGTGCTTCCTACATTCCTGTGGCAATGTGACCCTCGGAGGGGTCATGTGTCCTCTCGCGTGTCCTCTCCAATCAAGGCCGACTGTACCCTGACACGTCGATTAAGGAATTGGCCGTTTTCGGTTCGCGAGAGGGCGTCGCGGCCGTCCTTTTTTGCGGGTCCAGGTCCGTCGGTTGCGGTCCTAGGCCCTTTTCATGAAAGGGTTGTTTTTGCCAAAGGGAGGTTTGTCCACCGCCGAGTAGTAAGGCCCGGGACGAGAGGCCGTCCCTGGTGAGTGTGCTTCGAGATGCCTCGGGCCCGCGGACTGAAGAAGTCTTAGGCCCTGGTTCGGGGAGTCGAGCCCCGGGCCTCCCGGATGGAGTCCGAGCAGACGAGTTCGGAGGATCGCGCCGCATCGCCGATGCATCGCCCATGCGGCTCGATGTGGTGCTCGATTTGCTTCACGTCGACGCCATCGATGCATCGCCCGCGTCGACCATTCATCGCTGGTGCATCGCCGAGGCATCGCCGATGCATCGCCGATACATCGCCGATGCATCGGCGATGCGGCGCGATCCTCCGACCGCATCTACTCCGACCCCATCTGGGAGGCCTCTGTGAGCGCGTGACCAGTTTGGGATATCCGTCGTTACCTTCTCAGTGGCCGCGTGGCGTCGCGCTTCACAGCCACAGTGGTTTTGACTGCATCTGATGCTTGTGGTGCGAGGGGGGTCGCACACCGAGGCGGCAACACGAAGGGGTAAACCGTATGCCCGTCTTCTGGCAGTTCTCTGTGTGCTGAAGAGCACGGCGCCTCCGGTCAGGACGTGAAGCGGCAGCCATCGGCCCCTGGGGAGAGGCTCTGGTTTGGGCGTCGGCGCCGCGCGTCGAGTGATGCTCCCTCCTCCTCCTCCTCCTCCTCCTCCTCCTCCTCCTCCTCCTCCACGACCGCCTCCTCCTCCTCCTCCTCCTCCGCCTCCTCAGGCCGCTTCGCAGCGCCGCGCCTCCCCCCACCTGCGGGAACGCCAGGGCCCCCTGTTCATGCGGGCCCGGCCGTCGGAGCGGGCCGAGAACCCGCGGGTGGCCTCGGCCTCCATCATCGAGCTCCACAAGGCCCGAGCGGCCCCCCTCCCCTGCCGAGCGGCCCCGGTGAGTCGGCAGCTGCCCATCTCACCTCCTCCTCCTCCTCCCCCCCCTCCTCCTCCTCCTTCCTCCTCCTCCTTCCCCTTCCCCTCCTTCTCCTCCTCCTCCTCCTCCTCCTCCTCTCCTCCCTCCTCCTCCTCCTCCTCCTCCTCCCTCCTCCTCCTCCTCCTCCTCCTCCTCCTCCTCCTCCTCCTCCTCCTCCTCCTCATCCTTCTCTCTTCCTACTCCTTGCCAGGCCTGGGCTGGCCACACTCCGGGAGGGCGTGCGCACCGACTCCGGGCCATGGCGTGGGCCTGGTCAGGAGGGGCGAGGTGGATCGTGGGCGTCACCGGGCTTGGAGGCTCCGCTTGGGGCCTCAAGGATCATCGGAGGAGGCGGTTGGGGTGTTCGACAGCGGGAGGGAGAAGGAGGGGCTGGCCGGATGGTTGGCTGATCGGGCCAGCGGTCGAAGTCGCATTGAGGGCACATGATGACCGCTGTGCGCCGTGGGCGACTGGTGCCTTTGAAAAGAGCGGTTCGGAGTCCTTCGCTAGCTGAGTAGGATGAGGTTGTGATGTTGCTACTGATGAGGATGAGGATGAGGATGAGGATGATGCTGATGCTGATGCTGATGCTGATGATGCTGGTCCATGATGATGATCATGGTGATACTGAGAATGATGATGATGCTGATGACACTGCTGATGATGATGCCGATGCTGATGCCGATGATGATGATGGTGTTGATGATGATGACGATGATACTGATGATGATGGTGGTGGTGATGATGATGATGATGATGCTGAGGAGGAGGAGGAGGAGGATGAGGAGGAGGAGGAGCAGGAGGAGGGTGAGAGGGGAGGGGAAGGAGCACGCGGAGGAGCAGGAGGAGGTCTACGACTGCGGTTCGTCGAGTGTTTTCGGAGGGCGATACAATCGTCCTGAGACTATGCAATTGACCGCGTTCGGACCAATTCAAGGTATTGTGAATACGTGTCTTACCTTCTTTCGCGCCACAGGGGGGTCGTTTGAAGTGGATGTTGCGGTCAGACACGGCTCGAGAAGTTGGTCGGCCTTGTTCCCAGGGAGGGCCGACCATTGCCCTCAGGGTTCAAAGTTCGATGTGTGCGCTCATCTCAGTGTGTTCTCGACGCCAGGTGTCTTCTTCTTTCACGGTCGGTCGGGACTGCGGAAACCTGATGCAGGCAAAGGAGCAGAAGCAGGAGCAGGAGCAGGAGGAGGAGGAGGAGGAGCTGGAGGAGGGGGAGGAGGAGGAGGGGAAGGAGGAGGAGGAGGAGGAAGAGGGAGGGAGGCTGCGCTCGAGAGACTCTACAGCCACCAGGAGCCAGGAAGCAGGAGTTTGAAGATGTGGAGCGAGGAGGGAGGAGGCAAGGGAGGATGAGCGGGGAGGGTAAAGAGGCTCCAGGAAGGAGCCAGGAGATGATAGGTGATAGGGGATAGAGAGGAGAGAGGAGATGACTGGGTGGAGTGAGGCGGGGATGGAGGGGCAGGGGGGGACGAGGGAGTTGGCGACGTCAGACGAGGGATGGGCACGCAGAATGTCAATACGCCTCGACCTAGAGAAGGGTCGAGCACGGCAGAGTCCGACCCATGCCTTTGCCACCACGATGACTTGCCTTTTTCGCGACGTGCAGCGGGGCAGCATCCAGGTGGCGAACGCCGACCACGCCGCTTATTTCCACGCGTCAGCCGCGGCCGCGCGAAAGAGCCGAACAGTCGGGCAGCCGGCGCAATGCTCGACGGAGTCCTCCGCCTGGCAGCCATGCTGGCACGTCCCGAGTCCCGAGGACCGGCCGGTGCGCTAACAGTTCGGTGCGGTGCGGAGGACCCTTGGTGGGACCTCCTGCTGCAGGCGTTCCGTTCCTGGCGGACACGGGACACCCAGATCCGGGGGATTCGAGGATGATTTGAGAGGGCCCGAGCCCGACATTCTTGTCGGCTCCTCTCGGTGGGGCGTTGGGGCTGGGCAGGCAAAGGCGGAGATGGCCACGCGCCGTCGGGCGGGGTGGCACTGTTCTGCGGCGGCGCGTGGGCACCCCCCTGTCGGAACAGCTTGGATCGCATTCGCAAGGGCCTCATTTATTGGGAGGAAGAGTGGCTCGAGTTGATTGGTCCCCCATGCAGGTCTGGCCGGTAGGGGCAGAGATGCCCCAGACGGGGGGCCATTGACGTGCGCCCGCCAGGGGCTCGCTGGTATGCACAGGGGGGGGCACTGACATCAGAAGCCGCCCCCACGGACATCGGCAACCGCCGCCTATCTGTTGCCAGGGCTTGCAGACAAGTTAAGCTTTCCGACGCCACTGGGGATAGAATAAATATGATTGCATTTTGGTAATATGGATTCATTGTTGATTCTGCTGATTTCGATTGTCCATGCGAGATCTGCGAGATCTCGTCTGCGATATCGTCCGTCTTGGCCAAAAACCCTGGCACAGTCGGTCGGACGCCCCACGGCTTCACAGCACGGCGCAGGGTGAGGAGGATGAGGAGGAGGAGGACCGGACGATGATGATGATGATGATGATGATGATGATGATGAAGATGAAGATGAAGATGAAGATGATGATGATGATGATGATGATGATGATGATGATGATGATGATGATGATGATGATGATGATGATGATGATGAAGATGAAGTTGATGATGATGATGACGATGATGATGATGATGATGATGATGATGATTCTGAGGAGGAGGAGGAGGAGGAGGAGGAGGAGGAGGAGGAGGAGGACGACTGGACGAGGAGGAGGAGGAGCAGGAAAGGGACGAGGATTCTCTAGGCACGGTGGGCTGGCTCAGGCACGTCAGGGGGATGATCAGGAGGAGTAGAAGTAAAACGCGGATCAGGAGCCCTCCTGCGGGCGCTGAGCAGGAGGCGGAGGAAATGGACGGGGGGAAGGATGGGAGGATGAGTACGAGGGGGGCGAGGACCGAGTGTAGCCAGGACCCCGTGTAAGGAGACCCGGTTAGTGGTAGGGCCCTGGGGCCCTTCAATTGGCCAGATTCAGTAAGCCAGGTTTGCCGTAACTGGCGTTTTTCGGGTGACGGCAGTTCCGGTTAGTGGAAATGGGACGGGGGGGCGCCCCCGGTACAAATCACTAAACCAAGTTCTAATAAACCCAGTTCTGCCGACGCCCGAGAGGAGGAGAAGGACGGGGACGTTTTCTTCTTCGCCTCCTCCTCTTTTTCCTCCTCATAGTCGGCGTTGGGTCTCAGGCGAATTGAGCCCCGATGGAGGGAAGATGATCACTCACCCCTCACACGACTTACGGACCCTAAAAGCCTCACAGGTTGTTCTGCCAGGGCCAGGGGAGGAGAAGGAGGAACAACAAAACATAACAATCCCTGCAGCCCTTCCAGTACCGTGCCTCTTCGCGATCCTTTTCAAAGTTACTGGGATGTGATATGGTAATGGACATTTCTTGTGCCGCATCTGTCCTCCAATTTTTCGATGGCAGATTTGGGTGCGACCTTGACAACAACAACGGGTCAACGACGCAGAGAACGGATCCGCCGTACCCGTGCCCGGAAATGAAATTTCAGCTCGTTGGACAATCTGGGCAGGAAGGGAGAGACAGATAGAGAGAGAGAGAGAGGGAGAGAGAAAGAGAGAGAGCGCAGGAACCGCCGCCACAGGGCGCGCAGATGAGCGCCGATACCGAGATGGACAACAGCGACGGCGAGAGGGGCGGGCAGACGGCAGCGGGGGAGTTTGCATAGCCGCCTCGGCTCCCCTCAGCACCTGCGCTCGCTCGGGCCCAGGACCATCCTGCCACTACTTAAGCGAATCCAATCGTTTGACACGGATGTTCCATGATATAGAAGAACAATTGCGCACATGGGTTTCGATGGGCTTTGCTGCGCACTCGTTTGTGCGACAGCGAGCAAAGTTGGACGACGCGAGCCCGAGGGAAGTTGGAAACTACGAAAACCCACGCCCGAACCAGGGTGCATGGACATGTTGTCCCAGGAGATCGAAGCACAACTGAACCATTTGAACCCGATCGGTCCTGTTTTGCACTCGCTTGTTCGCCGGAGGATGAAGTTGGATGAACCTCGCAACCCATGGGCACCCGCAGGATGTCTGGAAAAGTGGAGGCCAACGCAAGCATTGTGACACGTCGCCCCCGGAGATCGATTCGTTTGTTCGCTGGGGAAGGATGGAGGTCCGGGAAGATGCAGGCCCCGAGGTTCAGAGGCAGCCGATTGATGCCGATGGCGAACTTCGAAAACCCATGCTCCTCAATGTCCGTGAGATCGCAACGCCTTTGGGATTCTGCAGTTCGACAGCGACCCACGAAAGACTCTCTCAGGGCGTCTTGCACGCGCTGTGCACGGAAAAGGGGGGATGTCCATTGGAGAGCTTGTTGAAGTTTTGGAACGCGTGCTTGACAGCGGGGCTGCGCAGGTAAACTTTCCCAACGGGGGCCCCATCTTGACCACTTAGCGCGTAAAGACGCAGCTGTTGATGGGTTCGTCATCGAAGAGCGGACGCGCAAGCGCCGCGGGCGAATTGTGGACGGCGTCACTTTGTGGAACAAGTTCGGTTATTATTTTTATGGGGGTGATTTGCGGCGCCAATTAGCCAACAGCGGCGCAGTCCGCACTTTGACAGAAGTGGGATACGCTCACTCGGAATGGGGAAGCATTGTTGTTTTCGCCATTTTGGGAGGCGATTGCGCAACTGTCGCCGCGCGAAGATTAAAGCGCGGGCCATCTTGCACACCTAAGTTGGAGACAGGTACACATGCGCAGGCACTGATGTCTTTTGACGGAGAGACTGTGCGAATTGTCAGCACGTGCCGCGCGTTTTCCTTCATATTTTTCTGAGTTATCGAGTATGGCCTTGGAGAAGACGACGAGACGAAGTGACATGCGGTCCGGCGCGAGGTGAAATCAACGAGGGCAGGGGCCGTGCATTTCTGAGGACGTTTGGCGCGCGGGGAAGCGCCTGCCTTGGCGCACGGAGTGCCGATCGCACTAGCGAGGGCATCCCGGAGTGCATGGTGCCCCCCTCTATTTTTTCCTCGGTCTCTCTCTCCGTAGGATGCAGAGGGGAAGCTGGCTCGCTAATTGAAGAGGAGTTCAGGGGACCCATTTTTTTGCGCAGACCCGCTCGCGCGCGCCATTGGCAATGCAGTGCCAGCGGTGCCGCGCCCCTTGGTTTCATCGGGGACCTACTGACTGTCAATTCAAGGCCCCGGGGCGAACGGGCCGCGCGCTCCCCTGTGGTGGAAAAAAGGGGGGGGAAGTGAGGGCTTGGGGTGAGGGGGGCAGCGTGCGCGCCTCTGCGCAGGCCGTGGCAATTCCCTTGGTAAGATTTCGAAGGGCTGGCGAAACCTTGCTGCATAACAGTCACGCAGGGGAATTACGCATACGCTCTACACTGCACCTTAGCGGGCGCATTGACGTTGACCCCCATCATGCGGATGCCATGTCATGTCTTCCTCTTTTTCTTCCTCCCCCTCCTCCTTCTCCTCCTCCTCCTCCTCCTCCGCCTCCTCCTCCTCCTCCTCCTCCTCCTCCTCCTTTTTCTCTCTCGAGCTTCTCCCCCCTCCTCCTTCTCCTCCTCCCTGGAGCGAGCGCAGCGTCTGGAATCGGCGCAGGAGGACGAGGACGAGGATCAGGAGGTTCCGGAAACGGATCAGAAGCAGGAGAAAGAGGAGGCATCAGGGAAATCTGGAGGATCCGCAGACTGAGGAGAAATATGAAGAGGAGGGGGAGGAACATGCGGATCAGGAGGAGATCCGGAAGTAGGAGGAGGAGGAGGAACATTAATATCAGGACGGGAACCAGGGGCAGGATGAGGAGGGAAGAGTGACGAGGAGGATGCAAATGAGAAAATGACGGAGGGTCAGGAGCCGTCCCAGCGCACGCGGCGCGTAGGAGGTGCATGGGGTATGACGGCAGTGGGGGGGACGAGGACGAGAAAAACGAAACGCAGGAGGAGGTGGAGGCGACACGACGACGACGACGATTCCGACGACCGCTTCCTCCTCCTCCTCCTTCTCCTTTCCTCCTCTTCTTCCTCCTCCTCCTCCTCTTCCTCCTCATCATCCTACTCCTACCTTTCTTCCACGGACCGAGCGCTGCTCTCCGGAGGAAGCAGCGTGACGATGATGGCGCGGAGGATCAGGACGAGAAGGAGCAAGAGGACCAGCACGGGAGGAGGAGGATGAAGATCAAAACGGGGAGGAGATTTAGAAGTTTCTTATCGGGCGCGACGCGCAGTTGGCAGGGGGACGAGATCTACGTAGGAGGAAGAAGAGGAGTGGAGAGGGCGACGACACCGACGACGACGACGACACGCACCCGTGCTCCTCCTCCCCCTCCCTCTTCATCTCCAAAAAGATCGCAGTAGCTGGCCAAGGCTGGGGAGGAGGATAACTATGAGGAGCAGGAGAAGTATCAAGATGCTCAGGAGGAGTAGGAACATGAGAACCAGCGGGGAGAGGATCAGGATTGGAAGGGGAAAGACGAGGATCAGGAGGAGGAGGAGGAGGAGGAAACTGAGGAGGGGGAGGAGGCGGGAGAGGAGGTAGAGGAGGACGAGGAGCCGCCACTTTGTGGGCGACGCACGGGAGGCCGAGGAGGACGAGGAGGATGAGGACGAGGAAGGCGAGGAGGAGGAGGAGGAGGAGGTGGAGGATGACGAGGAGGAGTAGGATAAGCAGGGGGGACGCGACGGCAACGACGGTTCCTACGACCAATCCTCCGCCTCCGTCTCCGAGCTTCGAGTTCCTACACCTCCTCGCTCTCCTCCGTCCTCGCCAGGGTCGTGTAGGGCATCTGGAGGTGGCGGAGGAGCAGGATCAAGAGGGGGAGGTGGAGGAGGAAGAGGAATATCAAAGAGAGTCAGGGAGAGGAGGAGAGGGTCCAGAGAGGGAGGAACATGAGGAGGATCAGCGGGATCAGGAGGAAGAGCCGGGATGAGGACAAAAAGGACGAGGATCGATAGCCCTCGCCCCGGGGGCTGGCGACGGCGCGCAGGAGGCGGAGCGGGAAAGGGGGGGGGAGGCGGGGAAGACGAGAAGGATGATGAGGATGAGAACGGAGAATCTCGGAAGAGGAGGAGGAAGATGAAGGGGAAGAGGAAAAGAGTGACGAAGAGAGAGATGCGATAGAGGAGGATGAATGTGGGTAGAAGGATCCAGGTCACCCTTCTGAACCTCATCCTCCTCCTCCTTGTCCTCCTTCTCCTAATCCTCCAATATACTGTTCCTTCTCTGGATCCTTCTCTTGATCCTCCACCTCCTGTTCCTGATCCCCCTCGTCCTCCTCGTCCTCCGCCTTCTCCAGATTGGTGCTCGTTCGGGGGAGGAGGACGTCCAGTGATGTGGGGATCACGATGTGGAGGAGGAGGAGGAGGAGGAAGAGGAGGAGGAGGGACAGTGTACACCAAAGAGACATCAACGATGTTGGAGTAAACCCTCACTCCAAGCTCTCTCTGCATAGGCCCCTGCAACGGTTCAATTCCACTGAGGGTATTGCTTCGTTGGAAGACAACTGTTTGAAGACCCTGAAGCATGCCAACACATTGTCCTCGGGATTCCAACGCCACAGATCAACCCGACTGTTGCGCTTTGGCGATCCAGAATCCAGCCCGAATTCCAACACCGCGAACCAACTTAATGTTTGCACCCTCATAATCCGGACCCCGTCCAGAACAGCATTTCTTGGACGTTGATCATGAGAACCCGTGAAGTTCTTGCAAGTTTTGTTGTAACGAGCGGGCGCGGCGCCAAGGCGAGAACCACATGTTGTAAAGGAACCGCTCTCAATCCGTGAAGCCCTTGCCAATTTTGAATCGAATGTGCGCGGCGCTCAGGCGGGAGCCACATTAAAAAAAACACCTGCCCTTCCATGAATCTTTTGCACATGTTTGCGCGGCGCTAAAGCGAGAGCCACATTTTGAAAAGGAACCGCCCCCAATCCGTGAAGCTCTTGCAATTGTTTGAATCGAATGTGCGCGGCGCTCAGGCGAGAGAACATTAAAAACAACACCCGCCCTCCCGTGAAACTCTTGCAATGCTTTGAAACAATTGTGCGCTTCGCTCAGGCGAGAGCCACATTTTGAAAATGGACCGCCCTCAATCCGTGAAGCTCTTGCGAATCTGTAAGACGAATGTGCGGGGCGCTAAGGCGAGAGCCACATTTTGAAACCACCCGTCCTCAATCCGTGAAGCTCTTTGCAATTGTTCGAATCGAATGTGCGCGGCGCTAAGGCGAGAGCCACATTTTGCAAGCCACCCGTCCTCAATCCGTGAAGCTCTTTGCAATTGTTTGAATCGAATGTGCACGACGTTAAGACGAAAGCCACATTTTGAAAACCACCCACCTTCAAATTGTGAACCTGTTGCCACTGTTTGAGCTTCATGGTTATGAATGGTGATGCAGTCTCAGGCGACACGCCCAGCCCGCCCTGAAAACTGGCCTCGGGGTGCGACATAAGTTATTTAGAAGGAGCAGGAATGGAGGAGGAGGAGGAGGAGGAGGAGGAGGAGGAGGAGGAGGAGGAGGAGTAGGAGGATCAGGAGATGGAGGAGGAGGGGGCCAGAACCAGCTGCGGGATGGGCCGAAAGCCAACATATTCGCTGCCCCCGCTGGCTTGTCTAGGAGTGCCCGGCGGCGTGCATGTCCAAGCTGGTCCAAGATGGCCTCCAGTATGACCCAGCAGTGTCCCAGGAGGCTGCGAAGACTTCCCCAGATAATTGGTTTTGCAAAGTGCTGCAGCCGCAAAAAACGGCTCGCGAGTTAGAGGAGGCAGACGAGGAGCACCATCAATGATATCGCAAGACACCCTCCCGTCCCAAGTTCCCTTCCCATAAGTCCCTACAGCCCTCTTTTTCCACTACAGGAAGCGACCCCTCCTGGCGAAACCGAAGCGCCCGATGGACCTGCCATTGAGGCTTCTTCGCGCGCGCGGGGACAAGTTTTCGAAATCACCACACGTGCGATGTCAGATTATTCGGTGGGTCCGCGTGCCGTGTGCGTTGGTTATGGCGATCAAGAGCACGATGGCCCAATCGTTTACGCAGCCCGCGAGCTGTTGTGTGCGTCCTGAGCTCGTTTGCCACGGGCGCCGCCAGGGGTCGAGCGGCGCGAGGAGCGCTGGCCGGACGCTGGCGAGGAGAGCGCCAGGCTGGAGCCCTGGCTTCTCGGCGCCGGCGGGCCGAGCCCAGCGAGGCGACGGAGCACTGGCCACGGCCGCCGCCGGGGCGGCTGCTTCCGCCTCCTGCGGCGGACCGCCGCACAACGGCGCAGCACGCGGCGCCCGCGCGCGCGGCGGTGCTGCGAGCAGCGGCCGCCCTGCACGGCCTGCCGCCGGCGCCGAGAAGGCAGCGCGTGCTGCAGCCGAGAAGGCCGCGGCGCGCGGTGCTGCCCGGGTGCGCTTAAGGCCTGGCGGCGGCCGCGGCCGCGGCCGCGGCGGTGCCCGGCCACGGCGGGGGCCAGCGTGCCAGCGCGGCCGGCCCCCCGCACCGTCGGCTTCGCCCCGGGTGTTGCGCGGGCTCCGGCTGGCGCTGTGAGCGTGCGCGTGCGCGGGCGCGCGTGCCCCGCCCTTCGCCTCCCCCCCCTTGCCCAGCTCCGGACTGGATGGGTATGGCACGCTTGCGGTCCTCAAGGGGCACGAGGAGGAGGAGGAGGAGGCGGAGGAGGAGGAGGAGAACGAGTGGGAAGCGAAGGAAATCATGGAAAGAGGATACAAACGCACGCGTAAAGGTTTTTAGGCTCAGAGCCCCGCTCAAATGCCCCTGCTTGGAACCATGGGCACCCCGAAAAGGGGCACCAAACGCTTTCGAAGAAAATACGGCCTCGTCGTTCGTCTGTCGTCCGTCGTCTTCGTCGTCGTGTCCTGTGGTCTTTCGGTTCTCTGCCACTGGGCGCCTGGTTCCTTGGGACAGTAGTTATGAGTCCTGCACTTCTTTTCTGTCCACGATGATTGCGCTGCGCCGATATCGGAACAATTCCATATTCTCCACCGCTTGTATCCAGTCCGCTTGTATGACTTGTTGGGACCTCCAGGTCGGTCGTGGGTTGAGTCGTTGGGGTCTGTTGACCCTTCCGGTGGGAATGATGTCCGATGCCGGCGGGTGTCGGGCGTCAATGTCAGCGGGGCCAGGTGGCGTGATCAGGGGGTGGTGGTGTGCAATGCCAGCGGTGTTGGTTTTCGACGCCAGTGGCCGGTTGCTTACGTCGGGGGGGTTGGCGATGTCAGTCGGGGCGGGTTCCGGCGTCAATAGGGGGCGGTGATGGCAGTAGGGGGAAGTGGCCGATGTCATTGGGGGGCGCTGTCCAATATCAGCAGGGGCGATGGCCGATGTCAGCGTTGGGCAGTTGCCCGTGTCAGCGGTGGCGGCTTCCAATGTCATTGGGGGGTGTGTCTAATGTCAGCGGGGGCGGCGTCCGATGTCAGTGGGGGCGGTGTCCACTGGCAGCGGGGGGCGCCGTGCGATTTCAGCGGGGGGCGCCGGCCGGTGTCAGTAGGGGCGGTTTCCGATTTCAGCGTGGGCGGTTTCCGATGTCAGCGGGGGTGGTTTCCGATGTCAGTGGGGGGCGGTGTTTGATGTTAGCGGGGGGCCCCGTCCGATGTCATGGTGTTTGATGACAGGAGGGGCGGTTTTCGACATCAGCGGGCGCGGTTTCCAATGTCAGAGGGGGCGGTGTCCGATAGTGGGGGGCGTCGGCCGATGTCAATAGGGGGCGGATCCCAATGTCAAGGGGGGCGGTTTCGCATGTCAGTGGGGGTGTGGGGGGGGGCTCCGATGTCAGTGGGGGCGGCTTCCGATGTCAGTGCGGGCGCTGCGAGGTTAGTTGCGCGTTGAGGAGAAGGGTGGGGGCGGCGATGGCAGCGCAATGGGGGGGAGGGGGGGGGGCTGGGGCGTCAGTGGGAGGGGGGCTACGATGTCAGTTGGTGGGGGGGAGGCTGCGATGTCCGTGGACGCGGTTTCCGATGTGTGTGTTTGTGTGTGTTTTTTGTTTTTTTGGGGGGCGTGCGATGTCAGCGGGGGGAGGGGGTTGGACATCGGCGGGGGGGGGCTCGGATGTCAGGTGGGGTTGGGGGACTTGATGTCAGCAGGGGGACTTGGCTGGGTGGGGCATGGGGAGGGGCGGGCTTGGATCTTACTGGTGGTTGGGGGCTGCGACGTCAGTTGGGAAAGAGGATTGCTGGATGACAGCGGGTTCGGCTTAGATGCTAGTTTTTGTTGGGGGAAGGGGCTTGGATGTCAGTGAGAGGGGGCTTAGATGTCAGGGGCCAGAATCCTAACACAGTATTTGCGTTCCTGCGCCCTCTCCGCTTCTTCCCCCCTGACTGTTATTATCTTCCCTTCGTCCCTTCCTGCCTGTCTGCCCGCCTGCCTCGTTCTGCCGCCTTTCCAGAGGAGTAAACAGGTACCTGTGCCACTGCTCTTCCTGGTGAGCTCCCGCCGCCACGAGGGGGTAGCGGTATAGGTGTCTGTTTGTCTCTTCAGTCACTGTTTTCATGCATGCGCGTTTGTCGTCGTTTGCCTTCTTCGCCTTTTCAGTGTTCGTTTCCTCTTTCGCTCTCTCTCTCTCTCTGTTTCTCTCTCTTTCTTTCTCTCTCTCTCTCTCTCTCTATCTCTCTTTCTTTATATTTCTCTTTCTGTCTATTGTTTATTTGTTTGTTTATCTATCTCTCTCTTTGTCTCCCTGTCCCTCTCTCTCTCTCACTCTCCCTGTCTCTCTCGCTCTCTCTCTCTCTCCCTCTCCCTGTCTCTCTCTCTTTCTCTCTCTCTCTCTCTCTCCCCGACAGACCGCTCAGCTTTGCACCTACTGTTGTTTGGGGCGCCGCTTCGGGGATTGACGCGCGACAGCGGTGCCTCCGTCGCTCCCTTCTCCTCCTTCCCCATTCTTAAGTCGGGCATGTCCCTCTACATGAGAAATATTCCAACATAGTCCAAACACGGTCGGGGGACGATTCTTCGACCATCTGTGACCGTTTTGGGGCATCGTTTGCACATTTGCGACGTTTCGTCCAGAATCCGCCTGTAGGGGGACGTGCCCGACCTAACCCTATTCCCTCCACGCCTCAAGGCGCTCTCTCTTCCTTTCCCACATCTTCTGGGGAAGCGACGACCAGTTGTGTCTGTGTGTTTTCTCCCCTCCTGTCCCTGGGCCCCAGGATTAAGTCGGGCCTGTCCCCCAACAGGGGGGATTTGCGACGAAGAATAAAAGATACCCCAAGAATACCCAGACAAGGTCAACACATAACCTATCCCTACTCCCTCCACGCCTCAAGGCGCCCTCCTCCTCCTTGGTCCTCCCCGTGCTCCCTTGTTGCCTCTCTTTGCCCGGGCCTGCCGCGAGGTCGCTCGCCGCTCGCCGCGCGTCGAGGCCGCGGCGCGGCCGCGGGGCCTCGGCGAGCGCCTCCGGAGGGGACGGGGGCGGCCAGAGCGGGGGAGTGGTCGATGACGATGCCAGGTAGTGATGCTGGTGATTGGAGATGCTGGTTTCAAGCAGTGGCGAAGCGTCCCGGCTTGCCTATAGCCCCACCGAACAATGTTTTGAGAACTTTTTGTGGTTCCCACGAATTGTTCTTGGAACATTTCTGGCTGGGACTGTCTTGTTTCGACACATCGGGTGTATGTTCTAAGAACATGATTTTTGTTCTTAGAAAATGTTTTGGGTTCTAAGAGCATGTCGTGGTATAACGGTATGACTATAGGAATGCCGGGACGGTCGATGACGATGCCGGGTAGTGTTAAGTCGGGCGTGTCCTCCTGCAGGGGGATTTTCGACGAGAAATACAAAGTACCCCAAAAATACCAGAAAAAGGGTCAACAAATTCCCAAAACATAGTCCCCACATTATTGTTGGACTATTTGAAAGCCCCCTGTAAGGGGACAGGCCCAACTTAAGGGTAGTGATGCTGGTGATTGGAGATGCTGGTTCTTCTGGGTGTGTCCAGGCCTCCCAGATGGGGTCGGAGCAGATGGGGTCGGAGGATCGCGCCGCATCGCCGATGCACCGCCGATGCGGCTCGATGCGGAGCCCGATTTGCTTCACGTCGACGTCGCCGATGCATAGCCCATGTCGACGATGCATCGCTGGTGCATCGCTGGTGCATCGCCGGTGCTTCGCCGATGCATCGCCGATGTATCGGCGATGCGGCGCGATCCTCCGACCCCATCTACTCCGACCCCATCTAGGAGACCTCTAGTTACTGTGGGTGTGGTGGCGGCGGGTATGGTGATGGTGGGTATGGTGATGGTTGTGATGATGCAGGATGGTCGGTGATGGATGGGTGGTCTATAAAATGGTGATGGTGATGATGACTGTCGTGCCACAGGGTCAGTGACGCCGATGGCCCAGGTTGGGCCCCAGTCAGCCTCTGCTGCACCCCACTCGCGAGTCAACTCCTGCCTAGAGGCGGCGCAAACGGCGACGCACGCTTCGCTAGACCAGGGGGTCGACCGAAGCGGGGTCAGAGGTCAGAGCTGATACGCTGCGACGTTCCTGACCACCCACTGGGATCTAAGATCTCAGTCCCAGAAACGTGCGGGGAACCACACTCGGAAGGAAGATGCGCCGAACACATTCTGAGAATTCGCAAAACTCGCGCACCATTAGCAAGGCGCCTTTACTGATGTCTGCGCCGCACTGGCTGCATTCGAACCCACTGTCAGAAACGGCAGACCCTGCGCCGTGGCCGCATCTGCAGGCCCTCACCCTGACACCTGCCCTGTCCCGGAAGTCGGCGATGGACTCGCAGCGAACTCTCGCGCCTTCCCGGAGGTCGTCTTCACTGGCTCGTCCGAGGTCTCCTTCACTGGCGAAGCCCTTGAAAGGTGCCAGTGACGACCTGATGTAGGCATTCTCCCCGAACGCCCCCAGGTCCGCGCCGCACTCCGACGAGTCGCACGCCCCGCCGACGGGGGCCAGGTCGAGGTCGGCGCACTTCCCGCCGCTGTCCGGAGCTCGGGGCGTGCTGCACCGGTCGCGGCTCCAGAGTTTGAAATGTGATCTGCTCCTGCTCCGACTCCAGCTTCTGAGGGCCCTCCCCTTCCTTCGCCATAGCCCTCGGGAGGCCCTCGATGAGCAGGAGTTCGTGGATGCCTGCGGCCTTCTTGGCCCTGCTCCCCTTTTTTCCCCTCCGCCGCCGCCGCCGCCGCCCCCACCCCCGCTCCCTCCCTCTCTCTCGCCCGAGCTGCTCGCCCGAGCTGCTCGCCCGCGTCGCGCCCTCGCGCGAGCTGCTCGCCCGAGCTGCTCGCCCTCGCGCCTCTCGCCCGAGCTGCTCGCCCGCGCCGCGGCGAGCAGGGAGGCGGCGCGCCTGCGCCGAGAGGCCAGAGTTGCCGATCGAGCTGCGGAGACCGCCCCAGCCCGCGCGCCGTGGGGGGGCTCCTCTCCGTTTCTGAGTTCTCTCGGCCGCCCTCGGGGCACGTTTTTTTTGTTTGTTTGACTTTTTGCTTGTCTATATATATATACATATATATATATAATATATATATATATATAAATATCATAAACAATCTTTTTTTCCAGAGCGCGGACAGCTTTCCCAAGTCAGCATCTTACCTACCTGCCTCCCTCCTTCTCCCTCCTCCCTCCCCCCTCCTCTGCCTCCTCCTCCCTCCTCCCTCCTCTGCTTCCTCCTCCTCCCTCCTTTCTCCTCCCTCTCCCTCCTCCCTCCTCCTCCCTTTCCTTTCCCCTCCTCCCTCCCCCTCGGCCCTGCGACGGCGCTGCTCGCCCCCCCTCCCCCCGCGCTGGGGAGGCGTCCGCCCCCCGTGCCGTTCCTCGGCGCCGCGCCGGCGGGCGGCGTCGAGGCGGCCGCCGCGCCGGAGGGCGGCGGCGGGGCGGGCGGCCCCGGGCGCGCGCGCGGCGGCGGCCCCGTCGGCCGGGGGGGAAAAAGGCGCGCCGGGGCGGGGCGGGGGCGGGCTCCTAAGGGGCCGGAGCGGAGGAAGAGGACGAGGGCGACGAGGGCGAGGACGAGGAGGAGGAGGAGGAGGAGGAGGAGGACGACGAGGAGGGGGAGGGGGGGAGGAGGAGGAGGAGGCGGGGGATGAGGAGGAGGAGGGGGATGAGGAGGAGGAGGAGGAGCACGACGACGACGACGAGGAGGACGAAGACGACGAACAGGACGACGACAACGACAGCGACAACGACGACGACGACGACGAGGACGGAGGGGGTACCATTCCCCCCCACACGGCGTCATCATTGCGTGTCCTTCGTTTGTTTCGCCTTCTTGGGTTCCTCTCCCGGGGTGCCGCTCGGGGAGTTCAGATAGACAGAAGGGGTGCCGTATCTGATGTCGCTTCGCGATCGTCCCGCTTCCGATTGCCTCTTCCCCCCCCTCCCTTGCCCTCCCTCCCCCCCCTGCACCCCCCCCCCCCCGCTCCCCCGGGGAGGAGGGGGCGGGCTGGTGCAGGACTCCGGATCGAGGGCCGCGGCCCCGGGGCGCGGCGGAGGGACGGAGGACCGGGGGAAGGTGGAGGTACACCTCTTCCCTCGGCTTCCCTCTTTTCCCTCCCTTGCCCTCCCTCCCCCCTGCACCCCCCCCCGCTCCCCCGGGAGAGAGGGCGGGCTGGTGCAGGACTCCGGATATCGAGGGCCGAGGGCCGCGGCCCCGGGGCGCGGCGGAGGGACGGAGGACCGGGGGAAGGCGGAGGTGCACCTCTTCCCTCGGCTTCCCTCTTTTCTGTTGGCATCGCTCGGACGTGTGCATTTTTTCTTTGGTGGGGACCATCGAGGAGCATCCTTGATCACTTGGCGAGAAAACCACGCACGAAACTGAAAAAGGCACAGGGAATGGACGTCCGAGCGATGGCGAGTTCCCTCCCTTGTCCTCTTCTTCCGTCTCCTCCTCCTCCTGTCACCTCGGAGCTCACCCCTCGAAGCTTCGAGGTGTGCCCCTTGCCAGCCCTAGTGAGAAACCAGGGCTGCTGCACAACCGAATCGCAGGGGACGTTGCAGGCGAGCGCAAGGCACCAGTCTAGGTGTGTTGACGTTGGCCCCCTTTATGCGGATGTCCTGTCCTGTCCTGTCCTGTCCTCTATCTTCCTCCTCTTCTTCCTTTTGGTTGACCCCAAAAGGGGGTCCAGCTGAGAGGGGGTGATGCAATGGATGTTGGGCAACCGTATTTTCAAACGTACTGCGCCAGATAGTTGTATTGCATTGTATTGCAGCTAATGCGTTGCGCGCCAAAATCCAGCCGTACACTTGCGCCCCGGAGCGAACTGCATAACCATAGTCTATTCCAACCCCGCAAATCTATTGCACCAGATCGAGTGCACCACCCCCTGTCAGCTGGACCCCTTTTGGGCCAAGCATATTCTCTCCTCCCACGGGCCCCTCCCGCGGTCTGCACGCAGCGTGCATATCATGCCCGCTTGTCCACGGTTTGCTCCACGTGCTCGCCTCCAGCAGGTTGTCCCGGGCCGCGCTCCCGGCTCGCTGGGCGGCCCCCCGTGTCGCACGACTGGGCCAGCGCGGGCCCGACGCGAGCTCCAGTCCTCCCGCCTGACGCCCGGGCGTTGTGAGCAGCAGGTGCAGCTGCCCCCGTTCGCCCTGTTTCGGCTCCCGCGGCCGCGGGAGATCGGTCCCGATCGAGGGGTGCTCCTCCTCCTCCTCCTCCTCCTCCTCCGCGGCCTGGAAAAGCCGTGACCTCCAGGCTTTTGCGAGTCTGCGACGAGCGGATCTCTCTGCCAGGCAGGCCGCTCGGTGACCGCCAGCGCCCCTGGGCACGTCCGTGCGTCGATCTTTCTGGCGGGCCGTGCCTCCACTTCCTCGCTTCTGCCTCCCGCCCTCCCCATCCCCTCGTTTGATTCCGTGCCTCGATCTTTCTGGCGGGTCGTGCCTCAACTTCCTCGCTTCTGACTCCCGCCCTCCCCGTCCCCTCGCTCGACTGCGCGGCGAGTCCTCCGGCCAAGGGAAGCGACGGAGCGGAGCCCTGTTGTGCCCCCAGCGCTGGAGCTTCTGCGCCGCAGGGGGCTGCTCTTCATGAGCCGTGCCGAGGTGAGTTGCGCCGTCAGCAGAGAGGAGGGGGAGGAGGAGGAGGAGGAGGAGGAGGAGGAGGAGGAGGAGGAGGCAGAGGAGCCGTGCCGAGGTGAGTTGCCGTGTCAGGAACACACGCCCCATCCCCTTCCTCTCTCCCTCCGTCGGCCCTCCTCGCTCGTTTATGCCCTTGTCCCATTCGGTTTCGACGCCAGGATGGCAGTAAGGGGTGCTGGGCAGCCGCGTGGGAGGAGATGCAGGCGAGGGAGGAGGTCTGTGGCCAGTTTGGTTCAAGGCCGCGCCGCGGTGCGCGTGCGAGGGGCGGGGGAGGGGGGGAGGACGAGCGGGAGGGGGGAGGAGGGAAGGACGAGCGGGAGGACTAAAGGCTGGGAACAAATTCTCAACGCCGTCACATTGTCCAATGTCGCATAGCAGCAGAACGTATGTGAACAAAGGTTGTACCATCCGATACGGTGGTCGACACACACACACACACGCACACGCACACACATACACGCACACGCACACGCACACGCAATCGCAATCGCACACGCACACACAAACACAAAACACACACACACACAGCACACCACACAACACACAGAACACACAACACACAACACACAACACACAACACACAACACACAACACACACAAAAACACATCCACACACACCACACAACACATACAACACACAACACTCAACACACGCACACAACACCCACACAACACGCACAACACACGCAACACGCAACCACGCATAGCACACAACGCGTGCAACAAACCCACCACACACCGCAAACAAACAACACACACGACACACAACACACAACACACAACACATACCACACAGCACACACACACACACACACTACACACACCACACAACACGCAGCACACACAAAACACACCACACACATCACACACACACACCACACAACACACATCTTACGTACACAATACACAACACACGCCACACAACCCACACACATACAAGACACACGCACAGCACACAACACACAACACACACACACACACTCACCACACTCAACGCAACAGACAACTCGCATTCAGCACACACACAACACAACACACTACACACACAACACACACATACAACACACAACGCGCACAGCACACACACAGCACACACACCCCACACACCACACAACACACAACACACACAAGACACAACACACAACACACAGCACACAACACACATAGCAGACACCACACACAGCACACAGCCACCACACGCAGCATCCAAGACACAGCACACACACAGCACACACAGCACACAACACATATGACAGAGTACACACAGCACACACAGCACACGACACACAACAACAATACACACAATTTACAACACACACTACACAGCACACACCACACAACACACAAGACACAAACAAAACACAACACACACACACACTACACAACATACAATACACACGAAACGACACAGACCACACTATACGCATCACACAACACACAACACACAACACACGCACACCACACAACACACAACATACATCATACCACAGCACAAGCACACACCACGCACAACACACACAACACAACACACAACACTCAACACACAAAACACACAAAACACACCACAGAACACAGCACGCAAACCACAACACATACCACACAATACACACACTACACATACAACACACACTCAACGCACTGCACGCAACGCACACAACACGACACACAACACACAAAATATTCAACACACAACAAACAACACACAATACACACAGCACACACACAACAAACAACACACAACACACAACACACACAATGCGCTTTTGGATGTCCACACACACACTTCGCCTGTTTTGCTGTGGCACAGGAGTGCAGAATTCGGATCTGTATGTGTGGCAATTGTACACCGTACTTGTCCACATGCTTGCACCCGCGACGTGTGGGAAGCACCAAGCAAATGCGAGGACGTCTCAGGAGAAACCGCGCCAAGACCAGGGCGAACCAAGCAACTTGGGGGGACGTCTCAAGCGAAACCGCGCCGACACAAGGCGAAATACAACGAGTTGGAGGACGTCTCGGGCAGACTCGGGCGAAGCCATGGCGAAACCATTCAAATTGCGAGCACGTCTCGGGCCAAACCGCGCCCAAACCAGGGGGTGAGACCAAGCACACTGCGAGGGCGTGCGCGTCTCAGGCGAAACCGGGCCGAAACCAGAAGCCAGGCGATACCAGGGGCGAAACCAGGCAAAGTTGCCAGGATGTCTCAGGCGGATTGCGCCGCCCAACCGGGCGAAATCAAAGGCGAAACCAACCACGCCAATTGGGAGGACCTGTGCAGAATCGCCGAATCCAGGCCCCATCCACCCTCGTGAATAAGATTTTAACCGAAGGTGTGGGTGACCCCAGGACCCCCCCCGCAGGCGCAAGCCCGTCTAGCATTGTATGGGGGGCGTTTGGACCACGTGTCCGCAGAGGAGGACGTGGTTGGGCGCGGAAGATTTCATTCGTCTTTCGGTTGTTGCTTGGGCATTGGTGTGGCTTTAGGAGAAGCGTTACCGAGCCTGCAGTGGGAGCGGGAGGACGATTGGGGGGGGGGGAAAGGGGGGGAGGACGAGTGGGTCGAGAGGGGGGGGGCAGGACGAGTCGGAGGGGGAGGTGGGAAAGGGACGGCAGGAAAGGGCGCCATGCGGTTGCACCTCGCGCTGGCCGCGCTGCAGGCGGTGCGGTCGGAGTACTTCCCGAGCGTGGACCCGAGCACGACCTGGCAGGCGCCCCGGATGCTCCCGTGGGACCCGCTGAGAGCAACCTTCCTGGATGTTGGCAGAGCTGGCTCGGCTCGAGGTAGATCCCGAGGGACCCCGGAGGAACTGGTGGAGGAACGCCTGTGGCCACCTTGGGCTGGATGCAGCTCCTGGCAGGTTCAACTCTGACGATTTTGCCCTGGTCCGCATTCCGGTTTGATCCGGCTACATCCCGCTTAAACCGGCTTAATCCCGCTTCGTCCCGCTCAATCTTGTTTAATCCCGATGAATCCGCGGACTAATCTGGCGTAGCAGCCCCCCAATGGGGCTTAATCCTCAGTCCTTCCGACGAAGACCTCTCAGCAGTTGCCTCCGAACCCTGGGCCGGGACCACTTCTGGCAACGCCCAGCCCTCGACAGCGTCTTGGTCGCGTGGACGCCCGCCTGGAACCCGTGGTGCGCCGTGGGGCACTACGAGGTGCAGTCGCGGCGCCCCGCCGGGCACCCGCTCAGCTTCCACGAGAGGGAACGGGTGCAGCACCGCGAGATGGAGGCCGAGGACCCCAGGCACCCTCGGGGGCAACGATAGGGGTGGATACAGTGGAGGCCCATGCCAAGAAACACCCTGCGCGCCTCCAGGGTGCCTTGGGTTTCTTAGGTTTCAATGGTTTTGCTGTGGAAAGCGCGTCGTTCCCACACCAAACATTGATGGACGCTCTGGGGTCTCAGGGTTGGGTTTCTTGTGGAAGGTTTCTTGTGGACTGGCCTCCACTGTAGGCACAGCGGGGGTGCATCGACCCCCTGTCGTCCATGGTCGCCGATAAGGGCCCGACAGTGCCCCAAGCTGCCCAGGAGGGTGCTGATTCACGATCACGGGTCCATCGCCGATCTATCCGCGATGTATCGCCGATTCCAGGTCGATGTATCCCCCCATGCCAGTCCCCCCCTGTGGTTGCCCCTCACATCCGATGGATTAACTTCTCCAAGACGGGGCCCAAAGGTATACACCACGACCACACGTCCCTCATCCCCTCCCTCCCCCAGGAACGAGGAGAGGAAGACGAGGGTGGTCGAGGGAGGAGGAATTCGACGTGGTGGTGTATATATGTACACATACATTGCTGGGGCCCGCATCCAATCGGCGGGCGAGGTCGCGCCCACCTGGCCCCCATGGGGTACGGCCGAGGCGCCGAAGTAGAAGGACCACTGGGGACTCGGCAGGGGTCGTTTTTTGGGCCGTTCCTGAGATCCAGGCCGTTTTCTGGGCCGTCGGGGCGTCGTGGGGCCCCTCCTGTTTTTCCTCCTCCTCCTCGTCATTCTCCTCCTCCATCCTCCTCCTCTTCCTCCTCCTCCTCTTCCTCCTCCTCCTCCTGCTCCTCCTCCTCCTCCTCCTCCTCATCTCTCCCTCCTCCCTCCCGCCCCCTCCCTCCTCCCTCCCTCCTCCTCCTCCTCCTCCTCCTCCTCCTCCTCCTCCTCCTCCTCCTCCTCCTCCTCCTGCAGGCCTGACGCGTTCGTTCGGTCCGAGCGCGGAGTGCCTAGGACAGCTGCGGCGTGGGTCTCTGGCAGGAGTCCCTCCTGGGCCCTGGGGCCTCCACAGCCAAGGCGCTCAACAGAAGGACCACTTGGAGCTCGGGAGCGGCTCCGGCTTTTTTGTTGGGCCGCTCCGCAGAGCCAGGTCGGGGCACCTGTGCGCGGCCGAGGCCCGCCGCGGCCAGAGAAGCCCCTTCGCTCCTCTCCTCCTCCTCCTCCTCTTCCTCCTCCTCCTCCTCTCCTCCTCCTTCCTCCTCCTCCCTCCTCCTCCTCCTCCTCGTCGTTTTTCCTCCCTCCTCCTTCCTCCTCCTCCTCCCTCCTCCTCCTCCTCCTCCCTCCTCCTCCTCCTCCTCCTCCTCCTCTCCTCCTCACCTCCTCCCCTCGCCTCCTCCTCCTCCTCCTCCTGCCTCCTCTTCCCTCCTCCCTCTTCCTCTTCCCTCCTCCCTCCTCCTCCTCCTGCTCCTCCTCCTCCTCCTCCTCCTCCTCCTCCTAGCCCAGGTGCACGTGTGTTGATCCCAGGGGCCCAACCACGGCATCCGGGTGCCGAAACGAACGGACGACGGGTGGGATTGAGCAGGGTCATCCGCACGGAGCCTAGGACGACGCCTGGCCGGGGGACGACGCGTGGACCAACTGGAGTCAGGCGTTCTCCGGGCCGGGCCGGGCGTACGCGCTGCGCGTCGAGGCCGGCGCCGCGCACGCCGTGCAGGTCCGCGTGCGCGCCTGCGGCGTGGCGGTGGCGACCCACGGCTGCAGCGCCTGGAGCGCGGCCCAGACCGCGCACACGGTGCTGAGCGCCACGCGGGACAAGGTCACAGCCACCCTCGGATCAGTCCTGCTCCCCCTCCCCCCCTCCTCCTCCTTCTCCTCCTCCTCCTCCTCCTCCTCTCCTCCTCCTCCTCCTCCTCCTCCTCCTCTCCTCCTCCTCCTCCTCCTCCTCCTCCTCCTCCTCCTCCTCCTCCCCTCTCCTCACCCTCCCCCTCCTCCCCCTCCTCCCCCTCCCCCCCTCCTCCTCCTCCTCCTCCTCCTCCTCCTCCTCCTCCTCCTCCTCCTCTTCCCTCTTCCCTCTTCCTCCTCCTCCTCCTCGTCCACTTCCTCTTCCTCCTCCTCCTCCGTGGAGAGCCTTCGGAGACACCGCTGGGGGACCTCCAGAGACCTCCTGGGACCTCCGCAGTAGGCACCTCTGAACCACCACCACGCCTTCCCAGGGCCATCCCTGAGCCCCGGGGTGGCGTATGCGCCCTGGGATGGCCGTGGCCAGGAGAGTCCATGCACTACCCTGGTGCTCAGGATGGCCCTGGCCAGGTATGGTGGTGGTGTGTAGCGTATGGAGAATGAGTGCCTTATGCCAGGTGAACATTTACATCAGGGGCACTGGCAAGAACGCACCTGCTACCAACGAGATCATGGTGAACGAGGAGTTAATCAGTAAGGGCTTCGCCCCCTGCCGCCGGCCCCCTCTCTCGGAGAATGGGCCATGGAAGAGCGAAGTCATGAGGCTTTGGCTTTGCCGTGAAGCAGTGTCGGGACCTATTTGTTTTTCGACCCTGACCCTGCCGATCTGCGTGAGGAGTGCCGCCGAATTTCAGACATGTGGTAAATCCCTTTTGTTTTTGGACCCTGACCCTACGGAACTGCTTGAGGGGTGCGACCGAATTTCAGAAATGTTGCAAATCCCATATGTTTTTGGACCCTGACCCCGCCGATCTGCGTGAGGGGTGCCACCGGATTTCAGAAATGTGGCGAATTCGTAGTGTTTTCGGACCCTGACCCCGCCGATCTGCGTGAGGGGTGCCACCGGATTTTTTGAAAATCCAATGTGTTTTTGGACCCTGACCCCGCCGATCTGCGTGAGGGGTGTCACCGAATTTCAGAAAGGTGGCGAATTCGTAGTGTTTTTGGACCCTGACCCCGCCGATCTGCGTGAGGGGTGCCAGAAAATTTTAGAAATGTGGCAAATCCCTGGTGTTTTTGGAACTTGACCCCGCCGATCTGCGTGAGGGGTGCCACCGGATTTCAGAAATGTGGCGAATTCGTAGTGTTTTTGGACCCTGACCCCGCCGATCTGCGTGAGGGGTGCCGCCGAATTTCAGACATGTTGCAAATCCCATTTTTTGGGGGACCCTGACCCCGCCGATCTGCGCGAGGGGTGCCACCGATTTTCAGAAATGTGGCAAATCCTAAATGTTTTTGGACCCTGACCCCGCCGATCTGCATGAGGGGTGCCACCGAATTTCAGAAATGTGATATATCCTTAGTGTTTCCGGGAAAGGGCGCCGGCCCAGGGTTTTCTTTTAGTATGTAAACTTGTCCCCGGTGCCTCAACTGATCAATATCAAGGTCGAGGTTGGCCAGCGGATTAAAATTTGAGGATGTCTCAGGCGAAACGCTTGTTTTTGAAATCCCGATCGATAAATCACAGGGTGCGGGCCACTCTTTCGTGTGTTGAGGATGTCTCGAGCGAAACGCTTGCTCCGCAGAGTTACCGAGGATGTCTCGAGCGAATCGCTTGTTTTGTAGAACTTGAGGGATCTGGGCGCCCCAGATCTGCACGACCCCATAGCACGACCCACACCCCAGCACGACCACACCCCAGCACGACCACACCCCAGCACGACCCCACCCCAGCACGACCACACCCCAGCACGACCACACCCCAGCACGACCACGCCCCAGCACGACCACGCCCCAGCACGACCACGCCCCAGCACGACCACGCCCCAGCACCCACCCCCCAGCACGACCACCCCCCCAGCACGACCACCCCCAGCACGACCACCCCCCAGCACGACCACACCCCAGCACGACCACTCCCCAGCACGACCACACCGCCTTGGTTGAGTGGTTGCCTGTCGTCGTGGAATGTTTCGTGGGGTGTCTCGTGGACTGTTTCGCGGGGTGTCTCGTGGAATGTTTCCAGGAAAACGTTGAAAACGGTCGCCCGTGTCTCGTGGAATGCTTCGCGGGGTGTCTCGTGGAAGTGCCCGTCGTCCAATACGGTGTCGTGTAAATGTTTCCATGCATGCAGTTCTATATCCCTTTCCGGGTTCGTGGGTCCATCATGTTTTGGACCCTGACCCCGCCGATCTGCGTGAGGGGTATTACCAAATTTCAGAAATGTCGCGAATTCGTAGTGTTTTTGGACACTGACCCCGCCGATCTGCGTGAGGGGTGTCAATTTGTACCCCCCCAGGAATTCTGAGAACCCTCCCCGGCGGTGCTAACCAGGGCGGTTTTCGGCTCCCCCCCTCGCGCGGACAGTAACAATTTACACCAGGAAACAGACAGCAGTATTGTAACAATGAAAACTGGAAACTGGAACTGGTGCATGGAGCAGCAAGCTTAATCCTCGCAGCCTGATGGCCCGAAAGGGGGCCGGCGGATTTATCGCCGCCGTGACGAGACAGGGTTGGTGGTGGCGATTTTCTCCAGGCTTGACCTCTCACTCCAGTGGCTGCAGACCTACGACACACACCGTGATCGTGACCAGTCCGTCCTCATGGCGGAAGACATCCGACGGTTCGATCAGTCACATTTTGTGATGGTGGTGTCAAGCATCGCCTGGGAGTGGCATGCATCTCGTGCCCTGGTCAAGACTCTGGAGTATTGTGGTGCCTACCACTTCGGGATGTGGGCGCACGTCTTCGCGGAGCACCAGCATTATGCCTCCAACAAGTCCGATCTGGACCAGTCCGCCTCGGACTCCGAGTTCGGGCACCCATACGCCTTCATTGGCATACCTGGAATCGGGTCTGGCATGGGATGGGAGTCGCTGATGTATAACACAGGGCACTACGAGCCAAGGAATTTGCAGGCGCAGCATGCGGTGATCCGTGCTGTGGCGTACTACGACTACGTCGCGCGCGTGTATCGGTTGCAGGATGTTGCAGCCTCGAAGTCTGAGTTGTACATGAAGAATATTCCGCCTTCCACGGAGACGGTGCACAATCCGTATCCCAGCGGCACGACCATTGACTCAGGCCACGACATCCCAGAGATGCAGCTGAAATACAAACCTTACATTGGCACGATGAAGAACCACATCACCGAGATCATTGAAGCGAACGAACAAGTCGCGCCGTACAATTTCGTGTTCACAATCAAGACGTACGCTGAAGTAGTCAAGGTGGACCCGAGGCCCACTGAGTATCAGGTGACGGAGTTCGACCGGATCTGGCAGAACGCCAGCGCCAGGTATTTCCCAGATGGCTCGGTCCACCTGCCAGGTGTCGACGTCGAGAATAGGACTTGCAAGGACTTCGTCTTTCACGCGCACCTCGAGGCCAGCCCCGACACGTGTGGCGAGGGCTTCTCAGAGTGCTGTGACCTCATAGACTGGCCTGGCTTCATCGCCGCCGAGTGCGACGTCGGCGTGGCGCCGACGTTGTGTAGGGACTACGCGTCCTTCCAGCTGCAGAGGAACCCTGTGGGCGTGAATCCGTGTGTGGGAGTCATGCCCACATCCACGGCCTCGCTGTCCAGACTCGTCGGCCGCCAGCCCAAGGGTGCAGGGCGTCTCTGCGCGGACGTCCCGCGCGGAGCGCATCCATGGTATCGTGCATCCATGGGATCGCGCATCCGTGGGATCGCGCCTTGGAATCCAGACTGCGAGGGCATGCACATGCTCGATGAGCTCCGCTCAGAACTGGTCCCTGGGTCCCTCCCGTGGGGTCTATGTTTCCATCCAGGATCCATTTCCAAGCCCCCAGGCCCAAATCGTGCTTCGGACGCCGACAACAACGACACAACCACATCTTCGTTCCATGTCCTCGATGTGCCAGTATCGTTTCACCGACCCCCATCCCCATCCCCATCCCCTTCGAGACCCCCACCAGATTACCCCCCCCGGTTGGGGATACACCCCTCGAAGCCCGGCTGGAACGGCCGATATCCCCATCTAGGGGGGCAATTCGGCCAGTTGGGCCCAGGCCACACCGCTGGGGAGGGGGATCGGTTCAACGATACTCAAACATGAAAGCAGACCCAAACAACCGTCTATTCCCAGGAGAATGTGGGGAGAAACATGGGCAGTGGAGGGGACGGCGAACATGTCCATCATGTAGACATTTTCTATAGACATACATGCACACACAGATCTGGAGGAATAGGGGGCATCCTGGACTTTGTGTCTTTTTTGGGGGGATCGGTGGAACGCTTCCCGACGTGCTCGCCGCTCGCGAGGAACGACTCGGCGGACCCGACGGCCCCCTACGGCTTCCGGGTGATCAGCTGGTCGAGCTGAGAGCGGCCCCTCGGCCCCTCGCTCGCCGGCCCCGCCGGGGGCTCCCGCGCCCGCGGGCGCGGCATGGCGCTCCTCCTCCGCCCTCGTCGTCGTCGCCGTCGCCAGTCATCCGGTCGTCGCTGCCGCCGCTGTCGTCGTTGAGGCCGTCGTCGTCGTCGTCGTCGTCGTCGTCGTCGCCGATCTCCTCAGTCCTTTCCCCCCCCACTCGTGCCCGCCCCCTTCGTACTGCCGCGTGCGCGGGGGCGAGCAGCTGAATCGGTGGCAACGAGAAGGGTCGGATAGGCACAGGGAGGGATGCATCGACCCCTAATCGCCCATTGATCGCCGATAGGGGCCCGATAGTCCCAACCTTCACAGGAGGGTGCGGATTCACTATCGGGAGCCCATCGCCGATCAATCGGCGATGTATCGCTAATTCCAGATCGATGCATCCCCCCCCAAGCCAGTCCCCCGTATTATTACCCCTCACTGAAGGAAGGGAGGAGAGGAGGAGCAGCACTAGCACTTCCAGGATGTATCGCCTCTGGGTCCCCCTTCTCCTGTGGGGGCGTGGCTCTTGAGCTCGACTCGAAGATTTAGTTGATTCGATTCGGATCCCTACCCGGGTCGAACCTCTTCTCCCTCCTTCTTCTGTGTCTTGCTCTCGGACGGGGCTAGGACGAGGAGAAATCCGTTCCAGATCTTTCTGGAACGCTCTCAGAGCGCTCCGGAACGCTCTGAGAAGGTCACGGCGTCCGAGACATGCTGCAGAGCTGCAGGATCTGAGAGATTCTCGAGTTTTCCCCATCGGATTTGATCCTCGTCCTGGCTTCGGCATATTCCCTTTCCGATTCCAGTCAGACTTGGAGTGCGGGCTCAGATTCCGATCTGACCCGCGCTGCGTGATCCCGATTCTGTCCCTCGATTTGGTTCTGATCAGGTCGACCTCCATTCCGAGTCGAGTGGAACTCGTGCTGACGAGGCGGGGGAGCAGGATGGGGAGTAAGAGAGGAGGACGGGGAGTATCGAGGGCACGATCATGAGGAGCGGGGGGGGACGGTGGCACGGGGAGGAGGAGGAGGAGGAGGAGGAGGAGGAGGAGGAGGAGGAGGAGGATGTTTCTGATGATGATGCTGCTGCTGATGATGATGGTAATGGTGATGATGCTGATGATGATGATTATGCAGATGATGCTGATAATGCTGACGATGACGATGCTGACGATGACGATGACGATGACGATGACGATGATGATGACGATGATGATGCTGATGAGGATGCTGATGATGACGATGACGATGACGATGACGATGATGATGATGCTGATGATGATGATAATGATGATGATGATGATGATGATGATGATGATGATGATGATGATGGTGTCGGTGGTGATGATGATGATGGTGGTGGTGGCGATGATGATGATGATGATGATGATGATGATGCTGCTGATGATGATGATGGTGGTTGTGGTGGTGGTGGTGGTGATGATGATGGTGATGATGATGATGGTGGTGATGATGATGAAGATGATGATGATGACGATGATGATGCTGCTGCTGATGATGATGATGATGATGATGATGCTGATGATGATGATGATGATGATGATGCTGATGATGATGATGCTGATGATGATCATGATGATGATGATGATGATGGTGGTGGTGGTGATGGTGGTGGTGGTGGTGGATGATGATGATGATGATGATGATGATGATGATGATGATGATGATGATGATGATGATGATGATGATGATGATGATGATGATGATATGATGATGATGATGCTGCTGATGATGATGATGATGATGATGATGTTGATGATGCTGATGATGATGATGATGATGATGATGACGAGGACGAGGAGGAGGAGGAGGAGGAGGAGGCTGCTCTCCTTGTTGACTCTCACACCCGCCTCTCGTTTTCGCTCCCCCTGCATATGCAGGAGGCGTGTGCGGAAGCGACCGCGACAAACAAGTGCGCCTTAGCGTTGATCTTTCTACCTGTAGTTTGGACGAGTGGAGAGGGCAGCCAGTCTCGGCGTGCAGGTGTTACTTCCCTCGGGGATCGCCTCGCGATCGCTGGCTCCGTGCGACCATCTAGGACGGCATGATGGCTACACTCTTCCTTTTGTCCCCCTCATCTCTTCCTGCCACTCCCCTCTCGGTCCCTCTCCGCTTCTCTTGACTAGCGGTCTACGTACACGTTCCTGCTCTCGTCTGCATGTCTTCGTCTTACGGGCAACGTTTGCCATTCAGTTACTTGCATATCCACTCCTGGCTACGAGGGAACGGGAGCAGCATCAGTGCGAGGAGGGGGAGCAGAAGGATGCGGAGGAGTTGGAGGATTCGGGGAATGATGAGGTGGAGAAGGGTGGCGGAAAAGTAATGAGGGTCAGAGCAGGAGCACGTCGAACGTGTAAGACTGTGGATCCTTCCTCGTGGAGGTTACTCACAGCTGCAGCTGTGTGTACCGAGTCTTCTGCAGGTGCGAACACATCTAGCAGCCTTCGGCAATTCCATCCTCCTACGGGATACTGGGCTCATTTTGTGAGTCTTTACTTTCACGACTTGTACGAACACGAGAAACTTTGAGTTGTCTTTGTTGGCGGTTGTTCTGTATATCCCTAGATGCATGTGTTGGTATTGGTAAGGGAGACGTACAGCTAGAAGCTTGTCATGGCCCTCTATGGTCGACTGGTCAAAGTCTGTTCCCGGTTGCTCTCATGCCTGTGGCATCTGCGGGGTTGGGAAGATCATGGTCCCTGTTCGTCCCATTCTGAGGTTATCTGCATTGCAGTATCCACGAACAGATCAGGCGTGGCATTCCAGCCCCGTCCTGGTACACAGGCCATGTAAGCATGTGAATGGACTTGCAGGCCAACCACAAACAATCCAACGATAGTCTCCCGCCCAACCGAGTGCACCCTGATGCAGAAGCCCTCTGCAGGAAGAGGGCAAGAGTCAGGGTCGGAGGTAGGGTGTGGAAGGATAACGACAACTTATGGCTTTCGCCCTATTGATCTATCATGCTTCTACATTCTAGAAGCCTTGGTTAACCACCACAGGTGTTGTCAATGAGATATCATGTTGCAGCGGCCCTGCTGGTGGTCCAACAACTTGTCACGAAACCGCCGTGATAATCGCTGACCTCCGTCATCCAACCATTTTCTTTCAGTCGTCGAGATTCCTAGCCCACACTGTTTCCAGCTAATGCCCCAAGAGTTTCGGCGAGACGCCGCTCACAGCAGGCACCTGGTCCGCGTGCGTGCGCAAGATGACGGTATTTCGAAAGCCATTGGATCTTGTCTATGGTACGATGTGCTGCCGATTGAGGGGCTCAAGCTCGGGGCGATCCTTCCTCAGACCTGCTTTAGCTCGAGAGTCCCCATGTTGCCCAGATGTCCCTCGTTCCCAGACTTCAGTTGTCCATCGAGAAGCAGGCGCCAAGGCCCATACATGAGCCTTGGGCTCAGTCAGCGACATGGTAACTGGTCTGCGCTTGCCTTGGGCTCAATCAGGACGACGACGACGACCACGACGACGACCACGACGACGACGACGACGACGACGGCGACGACGACGGCACCCTTGATCGAACGCGCGCGCAGCGCCGCGGTCAACGACGACCTGCGCGCCCGCATTGCCCGACCAGATCACGACGCGCCGACGTCGAAGCGTCGGTTCGAACGCGCACAATACCAGGGCGATGCTCGGAGGAGGAAAAGGTACCCATAACGCTATACGTTGCCCGTTTTTCTTGTTTCTCGGCCTCCTGGGCGGCCCTCGTCGCCACCGCTGGACTCGCCTCGAAATTCTAGTCAGAACGCATCCCAGGAGAAGTCCACGGAGTGGCGGTAGCGGTACCTTCTCGGGTGTGGCTAGAGGTCCCCTTGGGCCAAGGTGCCCCCTCGGGCCACTTTGGAGCCCCTGGGGCCCTCTGGGCCTCGTCAGGGGTACCCTGGAGGCCGTCTGGGCCACCCCGAGAATCCTGGGGGTACCTTGGGCCAGGGGTACTTCTAGCAACGCCCGACCTTTTGGTTCCCCCAATTCAGCATTGCTAAGCCCATGATCCGGTTATTCTCTCTGGGTCCAGTCAGGCGCACAGGCCCTTCCCTGCCCCTGGCTCCTACGCCCCCCCCGCCTTCTCCCTCAACCCTGCCTCTTCGTCTACCGTCTGCCCTCTCCGATTCCACTTTCCTCTCGCTCCTCGAAAAGGGCCAAGGGCCGATGGGGAGAAGAGGGGATCGGAGAAGGGAGGCCCTTCTCCGAGTTCATCTTCCCTCCATCGGCTGCTTTTCACGTGATTTCCCCTTTCGACCCTTCAGGTCTTCTACCCTTTTCCCCCCCTTCCCCCCTCCTCCCTGCACCTCTCTGTCCCCTTTCGTACATACCCCCTCCTTCCGCACTCCTCCTGCTCCATCCTTCAGTGTCGTCTATTCCCCTCGCCCCGGAGTCCTGGCTCGAGACCTGGGATAGTGTTGCGACAAGCGCGGGCGCTTGTTTTGCAGCGGCTCGAGCCTGGGCTCGGTGCGGCCAACACCACAGCGAAATGTGAGATACGGCTTCCTTCTCCCCCATCTCCTCCGCCCTTCCCCCCATTTCCCTCCGCTTCACTCCTTCCCCGCCCCCCCCGCTCCTCCCTCGTCCACCTCGTGTTCCTCTTAGCCATCCTCCCCGTTGCCCCTCCAGTCTCCTTTTCTTCCTGCTTCGTCTCACTCGTCATCCCTCCATCCCTTTTCCTTATACATGAGTCCTCCCTATCGCACCCGAGACGTGTCGGTAGGGCGGACTTGGCGTTTCGCCTCAGAATTCTGTACGGTTTTTGATCATCTAGCTTACATGTTGCAAGAGTTTCGCGGATGGATGTCGAGCCGTTTCCAAAATGTGGTTCCCGCCTTAGCGTTGTGCACATTCGTCGTAAACGTTTGCAAGAGTTTCACGGATGGAGGGCGGGCGGTTTTCAAAATGTCGCGCTCGCCAGAGCGCCGCGCAAATTCTTTTTGAACGTTTGCAGGAGTTTCACGGATGGAGGGCGGTATTTTTTCAACATGTGGTTCTCGCTTCAGCGCCGCGCACATCCGTCCTAAGAGTTTGCAGCAGTTCTAAGGATTATGATGGTTGACGTTCCAGCAAGAAAGAACGGGCAAGCCAGCGACATCTCGCGCTCTGAAAATCTAGTGGCCCATTTTGCTTCTGTTTTTTTTTCCCGTGAAGCGGCCCCTGGGCGGCTCCCACTTCCTATTTCTATGGTTCTATATATATGTATATATATATATATATATATATATATATATATATATATATATATATATATATATATCTGGTGAACCGGCCAGAGGGCCCCAAGACGGCCCAAGAGGGCCCCAAAACGGCTTCAGAGGGCCTCAAGACGGCCCCAAGGAAGCTTCAGATGGCCTCCAGACGGTCCAAGAGAGCCTCGAGACGGCTCCAGAGGCCCTCAAGAGAGCGCCCGAGAGGGCCTCAGGAGGCCAAACACATTGGTTTTCCCACAGGTTTATGTACGTTTTGCGGGTTCTTCCCTTTTCAGTCACAGAAGTTGGACATTTGAATATCTAGATTAGCAGCGGCGTGTTGTTTTTCAATCCCTGGACTTTTTGAGGGTCAGGAACGACGTCGGGGTGGTCTGGTGTATAGTTGTTTCCCCGTTGTCCAGGGGAAATGACGAACATGTATACACCAGCGTCCCGTATACACCAGGATCCATTTTCCTGAGCGAGTTTCAATGCAGGGCCGGAAAAAGCGTCGGTGTATATAGAGGTCGGTTCCCCAAAAAGGGCCCCAGACGGCCCAAGAGGCCCCACAGATCGCCCCAAGACGGGCCCAGAGGCGCCCCAAAGGGACCCAAAACGGTCCAAGAGGGCCCCGGACGGGCCCAAGACGGCCCAAGAGGTCCCACAGATCGTCCCAAAACGGCCCCAGAGGCCTCTCGTGGCGGTCTCGCGGGGGTCTCGTAGGGCCTCTTTGGGGCCTCTTGGAGCATCCTGGGTGCCCTTTGGGGCGGACGGCTCGGATTTCGGATTTGTGGTTCGTGTTCCCTTTCCTGTGCCCCACTTGGGGTCGTCTTGGGGCTATCTTGGGGTGTCTTTGGCGCCTCTTGGGTCGTCTTTAGGCCCTCTTGGGGGCCTCTTGGGCCGTCTTGACGCGGTCTTGGGGGCCTCTTGTGCGTCTTGTAGCGTCGGACGCACGAAACGTGGAGAACCCCAAAACGTGGAGAACCACAGGCAACTCAATGATTTTCGCCTCTCGGGGCCCTCTTGGGAAGGCTCGTGGAGGCCTCTTGGGACGTCTTCGGCGCTTTTTCGGCTGATTGGAGACCATCTTGGGCGTCTTGGACCGATCGTTCAGCGATTCGAGGCCCTCTTGGACCGTCTTGGGGGCCTTTTGGGGTCCAGGGACCGCCCGGGGGCGTTTTGGCATCCCTGGGAGGACCCTGTTGGGGTACTTTCCGTCTGGGCCCCCCAGAGGCGGCCCCGCGCGCGCGAACTAGAAGTGATCTAAACGTGTTGCCCGAGATCGTGGCTCGGCGGCGAGTGAGGGGAGGAAATGAGAAGGGGTGGACCTTCTCAGAAGGCGGCGGGATTTTTGAGAAGCCCTCGCAACTTTGAGAAGTTTTCTGTGTCTTCGGGGAAGGCTTAGAAAACTTCTGAGAAGGCCCGGGGACTTCCGAGCCTATTGAGAAGGCCCGCCCCTTCTCACTCCCCCCCGTGCTCGCCGCCGACTAGTAAGCCTCTGGCCCGTTGGGCCGACGAACTTCGCCTCCGCCTCCCCTTGCTCCCCCCTGGTTGCTACCGCCCCTCTTCCGCCAAAGCGCACGAGGATCCCGTGCCGACTGCACAGCAATTGACAGGTCAAATGGGGGTCGAGATCTTCTGGGGCACCCTGCTCGGCGCACAGTCGGACCGAGGCATTATAAAATCGAGGTCGCATCGGCGAGGGGGCCCTAGTGTTCTTCGTGCTTGTGGGCTGCTCTTGTGCACCCTGGCAGGGTCTCCTTGGATGTTCTATGTGTGTTGGCCAGCGAAGGATCTCTCATGCTCTGGGAGGATGTTCTTCAGTCCTCGTCTTAAATTTGGCGAGTCCCTCTACAGGAGGAGTATTCACAAATAGTCAAAAAACAATCAGGGGACGATGTTTGAATATTTCTGACCACTTGGGAGCATTGCTTGGGGTATTTTTTGACCAATATCCTCCTGTAGGGGAACATGCCCGACTTATTCCTAGGTCCGTCTGTATCCAACAAGGTTCAACATCACGAGGGGGACAGGCAGGATGGCAGATGTGTCGCCAGCGCAACTGGCCCCCCCTTCCTCCCATTCCCGCCCCCACCACTCCCGCTCCCGCTCCCGCTCTCTCTCCCCCCGCTCCTAATCAAGAGAAAGGGCCGATCGCACTGCCCCCCTGTGGTGTCTGCCGCCCCGATAGACTCGCCATCCGCACGATGGCTCCGGAGGCGGCTCAGGAGGCGATTTTTTCTTCAGGAGGAGGGGTGGGTTGGATGGGGGAGGTGGGGAGGAGGGGCAAAGAGGATCGACCACGCGCAGAGGGGGGTGGGTAGGAGGAGTGGGAGAGGCTTCTTAGAAGGAGTCTGCTTCTTAGAGGGCGCGGGCCTTGTCTGTAGATGTAGGGCTGGCGCCTTCCAAGAAGCGGAGAAGGACGAGGAGGAACAGAAGGATGAGACGGAAGAGGAACGCGGACGAGAAAGAGGAGGAGACGATGAGGAGGAGGAGGATGAGGAGGAGGAGGGGATTGTTGTTTCCCCCGTGGGCTGACAGTGTTCTCGAGACAAGCTAAGGGTCCCCTATCTTCATGTGGCCGCTCGACTGCTGGGGGGCCTTCTTGTTGGAGTCCTCGTCTGCCTTGGAGTGGCCAGAAAGAGGAGGATGTTGAGGAGGAGGAGGAGGAGGAGGAGGAGGAACAGAAGAACGATGGGAAGGGGGAGGACGGCGAGGAGGAGGAGGAGGCGGAGGAGGAGTTGGAAGAGGAGGAGGAGGAGGAGGAGGAGGAGCAGGAGGAGGATGAGATGATGATGATGATGCTGATGATGACGATGATGATGCTGATGATGATGATGTTGCTGAGTATAATTCTGATGATGATGAGGAGCATGGGGAGGAGGAGGAGGAGGAGGAGGAGGAGGAGAACAGGGAGGAGGAACAGGAGGACGAGGGGAAGGGGGAGGACGGCGAGGAAGAGGATGCGGAGGAGGAGGAGGATGAGGAGAACGAGGAGGGTTGTTTGTTTTCCCCGTGGGCGGACAGTGCCCTGGGGACAAGCTAAGTGTCCCCTACCTCCGTATGGCCGCTCGACTGCTGGGGGACCCTCTTGTTGAAATCCTCGTCTGTCTGCGAGTTCCCAGGAAGAGGAGGATCTGGATGAAGATGATGATGATGATGATGATGATGCTGATGATGCTGATGATGATGATGCTGATGATGCTGATGATGCTGCTGCTGATGATGCTGATGCTGATGCTGATGCGGATGCTGAGGCAGCTGATGATGATGCTGCTGATGCTGATGATGACGATGCTGATGCTGCTGATGATGATGCCGCTGATGATGATGCTGATGATGATGACGATGATGATGGTGAACGTGATGATGCTGATGCTGATGATGCTGATGATGATGATGCGGAGACTGAGGGAGATGGTGATGATGATGGTGATGCTGCTGCTGCTGATGATGATTACGATGATGATGCTGATGTTGATGATCATGGTGATGAGAATGATGCTGCTGATGATGATGATGCAGATGATGATGCTGATGCTGATGCTGATTATGAGGATGGACATGAGGGAGATGGTGATGGAGATGCTGGTGATGATGATGCTGCTGCTGATGATGATGATGATGATGATGATGCTGACGATACTGATGATGATGCCGATGATGACGATGATGCTGATGCTGTTGATGGTGATGCTGATGATGCTGAGGATGTTGGTGATGATGATGATGATGGCGATACTGATGATGATGATGATGATGCTGATGATGATGCTGATGATGATGATGCTGGCGATGCTGCTGATGATGATGATGTGATGATGATGATGATGATGATGATGATGATGATGATGATGATGATGATGATGATGATGATGATGATGATGATGATGATGATGATGATGATGATGATGATGATGATGATGATGATGATGATGATGATGATCATGATGATGATGATGATGATGATGCTGATGATGATGATGATGATGCTGATGATGATGATGCTGATGATGCTGATGATTCTGATGAGGAGGAGGATTGGGAGGAGGAGGAAGAGGAGGAGGAGGAGAACAGGGAGGAGGAACAGAAGGACGAGGGGAAGGAGAGGATGGCGAGGAGGAGGATGAGATGGAGGAGGAGGATGTTTTTGTTTTCCGCCGTGGGCGGACAGTGCTCTCGGGACAATCTAAAGGTCTCATAATTTCATATGGCCGCTCGACTGCTGGGGGGGCCCTCTTATTGAAGTCTTCGTCTGCCTGGGAGTGGCCAGGAAGAGGAAGATGTTGAGGAGGAGGATGAGGAGGAGGAGGAGGAGGAGGAGGAGATGGGGAACGGGGAGCAGGAACATAAGGGCGATAAGACGTTTGAGGACGGCCATGATGATGATGATGATGATGCTGATGTTGACGCTGCTGCTGCTGATGATGATGATGATGAGGAGGAGGAGGAGGAGGAGGATTCTCCTGCCTGGTACCCTCATCTTTAGGCGTGCCAGCAGGGACGACGATGATGAGCCCACCTATCCCTCAGGCCTGTTTTGGGCGTCATGGGGCAGCCTCGTAACTTGCAGCCCCGAAGGGCATACCGAAACGTTAGCGGAGAACTTCTAGCTCCAGCTACCTCCCCCGCAGGCTGTAGCTGATAGCATTTTGCTCTAGCGTCGCCCTCTCCCGCCCTGGTCCCCTCGCAGGGGGGTCACGTGGCGGGCCGGGTTCTGCCCCTGCCATCTCCGCCCTGGTCCCCGCCTCTCGGCGAGGGTCGTGGGGCGAGCCTGGCTCGGCGTCACGCCCTGCCCGTCCTCCCTCCTCCCTCCTCCCTCCTCCCTCCTCCCTCCTCCCTCCTCCCTCTTCCCTCCCCCCTCCCCCATCCCCCCTCCCCCTTCCCCCCTCCCCCCTCCCCCTCGCAACGACCGCGTGCACCCCCGCTGCCTGCCCCCTCCCATGAAGTGAGCGTCTCCTGGCATTGCTGCTGGTCTGCCGCTCACTGCCGCCCTTCACAAGTCAACTGCTTCCAGTATTGAAGCCGGTGTGTCGCTCACTGCCTGCCTTCGCCGACGAACTGCTCCCAGCGTTGTAGCTGATGTGCCGCTCGGTACCTGCCTTCTGGCACCATCTACTCCCAGCTATTGAGCCGAAATGTCGTGCAGTCCCTGCCTTCTAGCATGAGCTACTCCCAGCGTTGTGGCTGATTAGTCGCCCGCTGCATGCCTTCTCGCATGCACTACTCCCAGCGTTGTGGCTGATGTGTCGCCCACTGCCCGCTCTCTCGCGTGGACTGCTCCCAGCGTTGTGGCTGATATGCCGTCCGCATCTTGTCTCGTCAAGAAGGTGGCAGGGAGACTGCAGCCAGTGCTCGGCCTTCTCACGCGCAAGAACCGGTCCAAGCCCTGCTGCCCACGACGCGGGCCCGCGCGGGCTCCAGAGCTCGAGCTGCTGCCGGCTGCTCCTCCTTCGTGCGAGCTGCTCCCGGCGCTGCAGCTGATCCTTCGCTCGCTGCCGCCCCTCTCGCGCGAGCAGCTTCCAGCGCTGTGCCCGAGAGGTCTCCTGCTGCTTGCCTGGAGCTCGCGCTTCCCCCCAGCTCCTCCTCGCACGCACGACTCCCAGCGTTGTATCAGGAGGGGGAAAACACACACACACACACAGGCACAATTCACCGTCGATCCCCAGGAAAGTATGGGAAAATATGGGAAGTGTGGGGGGGAAGACAAAAACCCAGAAAGTATGGGAAACCATGGCCCCTTCATTTTAGCGGACCTTGGCTGCGCACCGCCGCCTTCCCAGCACGAGCGGATCCCGGCACTGCAGCTGATATTTGCTCCTGCACGGCTGCGCTGCTCGCAGAGCTGCAGCTGAAGAGATGCCGATCGTCGGCATCTCCCTGCTCACAGCCCGCAGGCCCTCAATTGGACGTCTCGTTAAGTCGGGCCTGTCCCTCTACAGGAGGATTTTTAAATGCAAAACAAATAGTCTGGAGACGATTTGTTGGACTTTTTTCGGCGAGTTTGGCATTTTTTAACATTTTTTCCCGGAAAGGGCTTAAGCCCAGGGTTCTCTTTTAGTGGGGCAACCCCTGGGTTTGGCTTGAGGTGGGCCGGCGAATTTCTTTTGCGATAAGTATCGAGGTCGAGGTGGGCCAGCGAATTAAAATGTGAGGATGTCTCGAGCGAAACGCTTGTTATTTTCAGAATTTGTTGAGGATGTCTCGAGCGGAACCCTTGTTTTGTGTTCTAGATTGTCCTCTCGCGGGGACCTGAATTCAGAGGATCTCTCAAGTGAAATGCTTGTTATCATGTGCCCAGGTCTTGAGGATGTCTCGAGCGAGACGCTTGGTTTCACGCCTCCAGGTTGCCCAGACAGATGTCTAGCATGTAGATGTTTTGAGGACGTCTCGAACCAGAGGCTTGTTTTCACGTGTCCAGGTCGCTCAGGCGGATGTCTAGCATGAGGATGTGTCGAGGAAGTCTCGATCGAGGCGCTTGTTTGCACGTGTCCAGGTTGCCCATGTGCTGAGAACGTCTTGAGCGAAACGTGTGTTTTCACGTGTCCAGGTCGCCCACGCACAGTACAGCCCTCGGCACAGTACATCAATATCGATACCCTTAGCATTGCAGCCTGGCATGTTGCCTGGCTCGTTCCGCGGAGCGTCCCGTGGCGAGTCCCTGGCACGTCGCGCGGTGCACTACATTGCCACGTTCCGTAGCGCGTCCCCTTGGCACGTCCGGCGGTGCGTGCCCATGGCACGTCCCCTGGCACGTCGCTTGGCGCGTCCCTTGGGACGTTCCACGGCGCGTCCTCCTGGCATGTCCCCTCTGTCGATTAGTTCTGGGGCAGCTACCATCTGCTCAGGCAGCTCGAGCTTAAGATCCAGATCAGTTCGGTCAGGACTCAGATGCAAAGAGGACTCGATCCACAACACTATGTATGATCCCGGGCTCCGGACCCACGGGCCCCCCCCCTCCCCCCCAGATGGGATGGTCCCAGGATTCCTCGGGCCCCCCCCCCAGATGGTATGGTCCCAGAGACGACGACGACGATGACGACGACGACGACGACGGCGACGACTACCACGACGGCGACGACAAAGACGATGACGACGACCACGACGACGACGACGGCTGCGGCGGCGACGACGCCGGCGGCGGCGGCGGCGACGACGACGACAATGACGACGGCGACGACGACGATGACGACGACGACGACGACGACGACGACGACGACGACGACGACCTCTGAACCACCACAGCACTACACCACATCCACAGGGGGGGGCAGGGGGGCACCGCAGCGCAGCACCACGCCACGCCCACCTCTGAACGACCACAGCACCACACCACATCCACAGGGGGGGGGAGGGGGGCACCGCAGCGCAGCACCACGCCACGCCCACAGGGGGGGGGCGGGGGGGACCATCGCGCGGAGGGGGGGGGCAGAATGGCATCAGCATTGGGGGGGGGGGGGGGGCCAAGCCCTAAACCATATAGAGTACAATCGCGGCATGGCACATCGCAGTTCAGCACGACGCAGCACAGCATAGCCGTCGGCACGGTACATCAAGATCGATACACTCAACATTGCACCTTGGCTCCTTGGCGTGTTCCGTGGCGAGTCCACCTGGCACGTCGCGCGGCGCGTCCTTTGGCACGTCCCGCGGCACGTCTATTGGCACGTTCCGTAGCGCGTCCCCTTGGCACGTCCCGCGGTGCGTGCCCATGGCACGTCCCCTGGCACGTCGCCTGGCGCGTCACTTGGGACGTTCCGCGGCGCGTCCTCCTGGCATGTCCCCTCTGTCGATTAGTTCTGGGGCAGCTACCATCTGCTCAGGCAGCTCGAGCTTACGATCCAGATGAGTTCGGACAGGACTCGGATGCAAAGAGGACTCGATCCACAACGCTATATAGCACAGTCGCGGCATGGCACATCGCAGTTCAGCACGGCGTAGCACAGCACAACCCTCGGCACAGTACATCAAGATCGATACATTCAGCATTGCATGTGCCCGTCGCCCAAACAGGTGTCTTTGCAACGTTGTCATGCCGCCTTACATTTCTATATATATATATATATAATATAGATTCCTTTCCGGGTTCGTGGGTCGATCATGTGATTTCTGTTGCCCCAAATCCGCTTGTAGGGGGACGCGCCCGACCCAAACGTATCGGGAGGCCCAAGAGAAGGGGGAGGAGAGAGGGGCACGGGGAAGCCCACAGCTGCCGTTGCCGCTACAGTGAGCGGCTTGAATAAGGAACGCTTACTTTTCAAAAGGGGCTCGGTCGTTCCTTAAGCTTGCATGCGTGATTTATCGCTCCCTATGCGTTATTTATCATTTGTTCATCGTTCCCTATGCGTTATTCCTTGGAAGAAAGGGGCTTCGTTCCTTATTTATTGTTCCTTAGGTCAGGCCGATGACTGTACTCGCCGATACTCTCTCCCCGGGGTGCGTCCCGACCAGGGCGTCGGGGCGAGTCCACCGGTGGCGACTCTGGGCCGCCCGGGAGTCCCCGAAGGAGGGGGGAGAACGGGCGAGGGGGCGGAGGCATCGGCGCCTGTTCCTTTTCAAATCTAGTAGGCCTCCTGTTCGATGCTCGTTTTGGGGACTTTTTTGGTGCCCACCTGATGGATCTGTTTGCCTCCAGTTCGACTCAAGTTCGACTCAGGTTCGACTCAGGTTCGACTCAGGTTCGACTCAGGTTCGACTCAGGTTCGACTCAGGTTCGACTCAGCTTCGTCTCAGGTTCGACTCGAGTCGACGGACGTTCGACGCAGCTTCGACGCACGAGTGGAGCGAGTGGCTCCAGGAAGGTCCCCAGAACGAGCAGCCAACTCCTGGATGGGGTCCGTTCAGATGGGGTCGGAGGATCCTTGCCGCATCGCCGATGCATCGACAATGCGGCTCGCTGTGGAGCCCGATGTCCTTCACGTCGCCGTCGTTGATGCATCGCCGAGGCATCGCCGAGGCAGCGCCGATGCATCGCCGATGCATCGGCGATGCAATGGCGATGCGGCGCGATCCTTGGACCCCATTGACTCGGACCCCACTTATCGTGGGCGGCAAGGAGGGGGGATGATGACTAGGGGGGTTGGATATCATGGTGTGGGCCATGATACTTCGCCAGATTTCATGGCGACTCCTCTTGTTTCAGTACGTCCCTGGCCCCCCCGCTGGGCCGCGCACATGCCGCCGGCCATGATGAGCACCCCCCCCCTGTTGGACACCCCACCTCTTAGCCGCTCCCGTCTTTAGGGTTATGTTGCTCCCATCGTATTCAAGGACCACATCCCAGAAATAATTTCGAGCACCCAGAAAAGTGTCGAAAGAGTGTCGAAAGAGTGTCTCCCATGGCCCGACACGTGAAAACCCTTGAGTTTGGAAGTGTTTTCGTGGTGCTCGAAATTCACTTTGGTGATCAAGGCTACCGTATGTTGGCACATCATAAATTTAGGAGGCCTCTATCAAAGCAAAGGGGAGGGGACCCACCCCCCATTCTCGGCGGCTCGTTGGCGGCCGGGCCCGCGCATGGCCTGCGGCCTCCCAAGACGATGCGCGCGTGCGGGGCTCCAGGGGCCCTCGCTCAGGCTTGGCCCATAGGCGGGGGAGGAGGAGGAGGAGGAGGAGGAGGAGGAGGAGGAGAAGGAGGAGGAGGAGGAGGAGGAGGAGGAGGAGGAGGAGGAGGAGAGAGGGGAGTCAAGCTATGGGGCGCTCGCGTCATATCTGACGTCCTACCCCTCCCTCCCATCCCTTACCATGGCGCAGATCTCCCCTCTATTCGCGCGGTCGGATGTAGTAGCAGGGCATAGCACTACGTGGCATAGCATGGTGTTGAATACCGACGCGCAGCTTGACACAGCATGGCGTGGCGGCGCCCCCAAGGGGCGTCTGCGGCCCCACCAAATCAACGAATCGAAACCGAATGTGTAGTCACTTCCGATGGTTGTGTTGGGGGGGGCATGTTCTAGATGTTTGGGCGTCCAGGGAGTTCAAAAAAAAACTAGACGGGCATGCTTGGCTTCAGTCTCGAGGACCTGCTCTAAAATCATAGTTTTGAATTCCTTTTTTTTGTTTCATGCCCTGCCGTCATCGCGCGAGTGATAGTCGAAAACCTAGCTTGAACAATGGTCACGACCATCTTCCCCCACCTCCTCTTCCTCCTCCTCTCCCTTCTCCTCCTTCTCCCCCTCCTCCTCCTCCTCCTCCTCCTCCTCCTTCTCCTCCCCCTGGCGGAGGTTGCAAAGCGATACATGTGGAGAACTGTTTGGGGATGATCAGCGGGAGAGTCTGAGGGGGAAAGATCTGGGGAAAGATCTGGCGGAAGATCGGGCGGAGGATTTGGCGGAAGATCTGGCGAAAGATTTGACGGAAGAATTGGCGGACGAACAGGCTGAAAATTTGGAAGATAATTTGGCAGAAGGTTTGGAGGAAGATATGGCAGAAGATAGGGAGCAAGATTTCCCAGAAGATTTGGCGGAAGATTTAGCGGAACATGTGGCAGAAGAATTGCGGGAGGATTTCGCGGGAGATTTGGAAGATCCATCTGGCGGAAGATGCATATAGCGGAACATTTGGCGGAAGATTTGGCGGAAGATTTGTCGGAACATTTAGAGAAAGATTTGGCGGAAGATTTGGCGGAAGACTTGGCGGAAGATCTCGCGGAAGATTTGGAGGATCAGTCTGCCGGAAGATTTGGCGGAAGATCTGGAGGAAGATTTGGCGGAAGATGTGGAGGAAAAGTTGGCGGAATGTTTGAAGGATAAATATGGCAGAAGAGCGCGGAAGATTTGGCAGAAGATTTGGAATATGAATTTGGCGGAAGATGTCGCAGAAGATCTAGCAGAAGTTTTGGTGGAAGATTTGAAGGAAGATTTGGCGGACAACCGAGAGTTATCTTCCTCCAGATCTTCCGCCAGATATTCCGCCAGTTTCATCCTCCAGATTTCCCGCCAGATCTTCCGCCAGATCTTCCTCCAGATCTTCCGCCAGATCTTACGCCAGATCTTCCGGCAGATCTTCAGCCAGATTCGCATTCCAGATCTTCCGCCAGATCTTCCGCTACATTCTGCGCCAGATCTATCCTCCAGATCTTCTGCCTGATTTTCCTCCAGAACTTCCGCCATATCTTCCTCAAGATCTTCCGCCAGATCTTCCGGTAGATTTTCCGCGGGATCTTTCGCCAGATCTTCCACCATGTCTCCCTCCAGATATTCCGCCAAATCTTTCTCCAGATCTTGCGCGAGATCTTCCGCCAGATCTTCTGCTAGATCTTCCGCGAGATCTTCTGGCAGATCTTCCGCTTGATTTTCCTCCAGAATTATATTCCACATCTTCCGCCAGATCTTCCGCCAGTTTCATCCTCCAGTTCTCCTTCGGATCTTCCGCCAGATCTTCTGGCAGATCTTCCGCTAGATGTTCCGCGAGATCTTCCGCCAGATCTTCCACTAGATTTTCCGCGGGATCTTTCGCCAGATCTTCCGCTATAGCTTCCTCCAGATTGATCTTTTAAAGCTTCTGCGAGATTTTCCGCCAGATCTTCCGCCGGATCTTCCGCCAGATTTTCCGCCAGATGTTCCTCAAGATCTTCCCTCCAGATCTTCCGACAGATCTTCCGCCAGATTTATCCTCCAGATTTTCCGCTGGATTGTCCGCTAGATTTTCCGCTAGATTTTCCGTCAGATTTTTTGCCAAATCTTCCGCCAGATCTTCCTCCCGCAGATCTTTCCGCAACTAGTTCCGAAACATTCCTCTAGATTTATCGCTTTGCAACCGCGTCAAGCCTTCCTTTCGACACTCCCCAGATCTCTCGACAGATATTTCCAAGATCTTCCTCCTGCTGTTCCAGGTTGGTTCTTGTTTTGCTTTTTGCCGCGTCGCGGGCCCGCTTCTTGTTTCTTGTTTTTCAAATTCCTAGTTGTGTTGCCTGCCTTGCTTCGGGGCTGCAATCTCTACGGGACAACCTAGAATTTTAAATCCCTTCTGTTTGATATTTTTTTCAACAAACAAACTCCCTGTATTTGAAAGCAGGGCTGAACCTAAACGGTGTTGTTCGTTATCGTTGTGCTTTCATTTCCCTTCGTTTTGTTGTCGATTCGCCCTTACCGCAAACCAACATCGAACCGAAAACGGCCCACGAAATCGCCAAAACACCGCTTAGGTCCAGCCATTTGGGAAGGACCGAAAACCATGCCGTGGCATGGTGCTGGGAATACTGGCGCCAGCGCTGCTGCGGGAGCGCAAAGCGGATCCAGCGGGAGTGTGGCAATGAGGCCAGCATTGCAGCGGGAGCACGATGCGGAGGACGCGTACGTAGCCTGACATAGCATGACGTGGCGACGCCCCAAAGTTTGGGTGGGGGGGGCTTTGTACCGAATGTGTAATCACTCCCGATGGTTTTTTCGGGGGGGCATTTGGAAGGACCGAAAACCATGCCGTGGCATGGCTCTGGAAATAATGACGCCAGTGCTGCAGCGGGAGCACGATTCGGAAAGAGCGGAAGCGCGAAAATGAGGCCATCGCTGCAGCGGGAGCACGATTCGGAACGAGCGGTAGCCCGAGAATGAGGCCAGCGTTTCAGCGAGAGCAGCATTTCGAACAGCAACTAAGCGAAAACCCGTTCCCCGGGAATCCTGTGTGTAAAAAATCTGTGCGCGGAGGGGGGCGAATATTTCCAGGACGTCGCCAGGGGAGAGAGGAGAGAGGAGAGTAATTGTGAAGGGCTGCTTCTGGTAGGTGGGAGGAGGGAAGAAGGAAGGCGGCGGAGGAGGGATGACGAAGAGCGCGCGGGAGGATGAAGGGGTTGTGGAAGGGAAGAGGAGGTGGAGTGGGATGACGAGGACCTTTATGATCGGGAGGAGGGAGCCAGGATATCCTGTCGGGCGAAGCCAGGTCCACTTGTAGTATGTTTGATCGGAGCCGTGGTGTTTGTACGACGCGAGGGGTAGTGGGCCCTGGGACAAAGCAGCCGACCTCCAAGCCTGTCCAGGAGTGCGCCCTGGCCCGAATGCCGACGCGGATCCCGCCGTGGCGACGGGAAGCGCCCCGGAGGCGCACAGAGGCACGATCACCGCCAGCAGCTCCTCGAACTTCGACTGGAGGTGGACAGCGCGACGCGAGGATGCCGACTCTGCTGCGCGCGCTGCCGTGTCCGAGCGCCCGCACCGACCGGCCGTCCCTCCCGCAGGCCTCCGTGGAGCCCGTCGTGCCCACACCTGCGCCGCCCGCCGTCGTCGACGCGGCCGCTCAGGACGCCAAGGGGCCTCGGCTCCGCCTGGGAGAGGTGAGGTCGAGGAGGGGGGGGGGGAAGATCAGGGATGAGGGAGAGGGATCGAGGGGGAGGATCGAGGCGGCGGAGCAAGAGGAGGATCGAGGAGGAATAGGGGCAGGAGCAGGATCTGGGAGGAGAGTGGACGCTGATCCAGGATCAAGGAGGATCTGGGGAGGTTCGAGGAGCAGGAGGTGGAGGAGGATCCAAGATCCGGACCAGGAGAAGGAGGAGGAGGAGGAGGAGCAGGAGGAGGGGCGAGTGTCCTAATGAGTGCCTCCTCGCGTCGTGCGAGACAAATCACGATGGATGGTTCTTGCGAACGTTCTGTCTCTGTTGGCCCTGTCTGGGCCCCAGGACTCAACAACGAGCCGGTATGACAGGTTGATCCTGGGGAAGGTGTCAAAACCTCCGGGGTGGGGAGGGCACCTCTCGGGGCCCTCTCAGGGCACCCTTGGGAGCCCTGGGAGCGTTTTGAGGGCCATCTCCGAGGAGATCTATCAAAGAAAGGGGGGTCTCAATCAGCGCTGCGGGGCGCGTTGCGAAGTCATGTCGACGTCGGGGGTCTGGGATGAGCGGGGAGGGTCCAGAACGTCTCGCGATTCTCGGCCACTCGAGAGGCTGTGTTCGGGCCCCAGGAGCGTCAACGCCAGGATGGGCCCTCGGCGGGGGATCGATTCTGAACTTACCTCGGCCAGGGAGGACGGATGGAGGATCGAGGTGCTCAAACTGTTTCGGGCCCTCTGGTTGACCTCCTGGGGTGCCCTCGTCGCCATGGCCAGAGAGCCACCCCAGGAGAGGTCCGTGGGAAAGCGGAGGACGACTCCCCATCCCATCCGAGAAACAATTCATTTCACAAGTTGTTGATGATCACTTTCGGCATCTGGTGGCAGTTACTGGCCCTGAGGCCAGCAAGAGGAAGAACTGCGAGGGGAACCTGCAACTGGTCCCTACGACGGGGTCGGTGGCTCCACGGGCCATGCTACGAAACCAGTTGGCGTCTAGGGTGCAGCCTGGTCGTCATGCAAGCAGCATCTCTTAGTATTTTTCCTCACAGGGTAAATGGTCGTGGGTCGCTGTCTTTGGAAAACACAGGCTCGGGCCCACTTGTTGGTACATGGCGGCGCGACGCGGAGCTCGCCAATCGTTCCAATGGCTTCAACGGCATCGGAGTAGTATGCGATGGCGTGTTCGCGGTCTCCAGCGTCATAGTCTGTTTCTGGTGGGGTGCCGTGAGCATTGGCTGCACCAGCTCGCTTGAAGTCAAGGCGTAGCCGGTGTCGATGCTGCGGCCTCCTGCATGGATCTTTCGGCTTCCCTTTTTCCTTGGTGTTCTTCGGGCTCCTCCTCCTCCTCGTCCAGCTCCAGCTCCATCTCCGATACAATCTCTGCTTGACACCCACCTCCATACCCGTCTTTACCTCCACTTCACCCCAGCTTGTGAAGGCCCTACATTCAACCCGCATGGTAAGGATGGGCAACCTTCCCAAGGGTACCCTTGCATCCTTGCCTCCTCGGTTCATTCTTCGCCATTTTCGTTGGCCGCGCCCCGCTCGAAAAGCTTCGAACTGGGCGTCCAAGGCCCTTGCATTGTTATCGCGCATCATTTGATACGGGCCGACACTGTAAGAGGCGCCTGTTCAGGGTTCTGCGGGCTGGATGCGGCCCAGGGGGTGGTTGGCGAAGCGGAAATTGGACCTGGCGTGTCAAAGCTTGGATGCCTACACCACGGCGGCGCTCTCGGACATCTCGTTGGTACGCGGAGGCTCCACCACCTCTGCCTCCAGGCAAGGTCCAGTTCGATGTGTTATTGGCCAGCTCGATCCGTCTCGATTCCGATGCTCCGACGGCCCGATGTTGTTTGATATTTGCAGGGCGCTGTTGTGCATCGTGGCGCGGTCGATTCGAGTTGATTGCCACCTTACGCCCATGGGGCCCGATATGATGCGCGTTCCGATCCGATCCGATGTATCGATTCGATGCCGACAGCTCTTGCCATTGTGTTTCTCCATGGCGACCAGATGGGGGGCCCTCTGGCGTTGTCAGGGTGTCCCCCCCAAAGAAACACCTAGTCAAGCCCAGATCGCCCCCTCCTTCTTCGTCTGATTGGGGTGTTTCGGACGGGACTGGGACGAAGATACAGTGGAGACCCATGCCAAGAAACACCTACTTCAGATTTCTCAATAAAGGGAGGGGGGTCTCATTTCGGGGGGGGTCTCTTCCAGGCCATCTTGGAGGGCCTGGGGGGGTCTGGGGACGATGTTTTGGAGGGTTCTCCCACGGGGGGGGTCTGAAATGGCTTGTCTTGGAGGGTTCAGACCCCCTCCCTTTTATTACGAAATCTGGAGTAGTCAAGCCCAGATCGCCCCCTCCTTTTTCGTCTGATTGGGGTGTTTCGGACGGGACTGGGACGAAGGTACAGTGGGGGCCCATGCCAAGAAACACCCTGCTTGCCTCGAGGGGGCCCTGGGTTCCTTGGGTTTCGATGGTTTTGCGATGGGAAGCGTGATGTCCCCACACCAGGACTCAATGGACGTCCTGGTGTGCCAGGGTTGGGTTTTTGGTGGAAGGTTTCTTGTGGTCCAGCGCCTACTGTACATTCGTCCCAGAGCGTTCCGGAACGCTATGACAAGGCCGCGGCTCCCGAGAGATCCTCCAGAACCGCTGGAACTCAGAAGTTCCCGATTTATCCCTACCCAATCTGATTCTCGTCCTGGCTTCGTCTTAGTGTACCTGCCCCTTACGCGGCTGATTCGTCGAGTGCGTGGAGGCTCCACCGCCGCCATCTCCACGTCCTGCTCCCTCTCGCCATCGCACCTGCCGGTCGCCCGCGCGGGCACGCCGCCCAGGACGCGGCGATGGCCGAGACCACGGTGGCCCAGGCTGGCGCGGTGGTTGAGGCTGTCGTCGTCGTCGTTGTTGTCGCCTTCGCTGTCGTCGTCGTCGTCGCCGTCACCATCGCCAACACCGTCGCCGTCGCCGTCGCCCCCGCCGTCGCTTTCGCCGCCGCCGCCGCCGCCGTGGCTGCCGCTGCTGCCGCCGCCGCGCCGTCGCCGTCCTCGATTGATCTATCGGCCGAGGTTCGAGGGTCGATCGATGTCTCTTATTGTTCGGCTACCAGGGCTCCAGCGCGGTCCGAGGATAGACTTTGTGTGGATGTTGTCGCAAACGATTTCATTGTGTTTCGCCCCGTCCCCGCGTTCCACAAAAACGGTCCTCCCTAATCCTCCTCTACCCTCTGTGCCTCGTTTTTTTTCCATGAGGCAGAATGTGTAGCGCGTGCATGGGCAAGTGGTGAGAGGACTGGAAACCAGCAGCATCGGATACACAGCATGCGAAGTCGGATATTGCGCACGCTCTACACAGCGTGGTGAGTCAGTCGGGATTCGGGGCCACCGCCACGGTTTTGGAACTCGCATCGTTCTCCGCGGACGTCTCGGGCGACCGGGGCCTCCGAAGTCCCAAGACCGTGCGGTGACGCGCCGCGCGGTGAGGTCGCCAGGGATCCCGTCGGACGGGGCTAGGACGAGGGTAATTCCGTTCCAGAGCGCTCTCAGAGCGTCCCGGAACGCTCTGAGAGGGCCTCGACGGTTGATGCATTATTTGGAGCCGCCAGATCTCAGAGATTCTTGAACTATTCCCACCTGGATTTATCCGCGTCTTCGATTCGTCTTATCCCGAGGTCACCATGACTAGAGTGCATCTCCTGGGAGGTTCAATTCTGTATCGTCGCTGGTATTCTCGCAGTCGATGCCCGGCTTAATCTGGGCTGATCTGGCTTTGCCTTGTTCAATCCCGCTTAGTCCCGCTGAGTCCTGTTCCAATCCCGAGCTTAATCCAGCCTAGTCCAGTGAAGCGGCCTTCTCATCTGGCTCAGTCGCCCTTTACTCAGGAGGGGAACAAAAACACACAGACACGATTAATCGTCGATTCCCCGGAAACTATGGGAAAATATGGGAAGTGTGGGGGAAGACACACATTAAGCAAATACAGGAAACTATGGGGGGAATTCTTTTCTTTGTGTGTATCTATTTGTGTGTGTCCCAGGGCCCCTTCCTTTACAATCGGTCCCGCGAAGACCTCCCAGGAGTCGCCTCCCAATCGGTCACCGCACGGCGTGGGGACCGCGCCCGGCTGCTGAGAGCACGGCCTCTCGGGCACCCGGGGCCTGCAGCCCTTGGGCCCCCGATCCGCTGAGTCCTGTTCCAGCCCCGAGCTTCATCCAGCCTAGTCCAGTGAAGCGGCCTTCTCATCTGGCTCAGTCGCCCTTACAATCGTTCCAGCGAAGACCTCCCAGGAGTCGCCTCCCAATCCGTCGCCGCACGGCGTCGGGGCCGCGCCCGGCTGCTGCGAGCACGGCCCCTCGGGCACCCATGGGCCTGCAGCCCTTAAGGGCCCCCGAGCCGCTCCGGCCTTCACGCGGGAGAGGCGCCGCGCTCTCGCGCCGCGCGGGGGGCCTAAGTGCCCCGGCGGCGAGGCGTGTGCGCATATCCACCGCCGCGAGCCGGGCCCCTTGGCGTCGCTCGGACGTGTGCATTTTTCCTCGGCGAGGGCCATCAAAGAGCATCCCTGATCATTTGCAGAAGAAAAACAAATCCCTGATCATTTGGCGAAAAAGCCACGCACGAAACTTAAAAAACAACACAGGGAGTGGACGTCCGAGCGATGCCCAGGCCCACCCCTCCGGATGCAGCTCCTGGGAGGGCAAATCCTGTGTTCGCCCTGGTCCGAAATCCGGCTTAATCCGGCTTAATCCGGCTGGCTCCCGCTGAATCCCCCTGAATCCGGCTTGCTCCCGCTCAGTCCAAGGCCCCCTCCGGCGCAGCAGCCCCCCAACGGGGCTTGACCCTCCCGAATCCCTCCGACGAAGACCTCCCAGTAATTAGTTGCCTCCTAGCAGCCCTCGGATGAGGAAGAGGTGCCCGTGCCGCGGCCCTTCGCCCGTTTCCCTCTGGGAGGCCCTTCGTCGCCCCCGTCTGGATTCACCTCGAACTCTGCGAGTGAGGACGCACCCCGGGGGAGACTCGGGGAGTACGCAGCGGTACGGGTACCTCTGGGGTTCCCCAGACCCGGGTCCAGGAGCGGGGTGTGCGATCCCCGGGCTTGGTCCGGGAGGCATCTGTCTGGCACTCCGAAGTTGAGGGTAAGGTAAGCGTGAGGGGGCGGGGGCGGGTTTCTTCGGTTAGGCCAACCCTGGGGCCATCTTGGGGCCATCTTTGAGGCGCTCGATCAGAGAGGAGGCGCTCCTCAATCAGCCCGCTCCCCCCAGGACCCAAGAGGCCAAAATGAGGCTAACACCTTGGTCACATCGATGCTGTTGGCCTTCTCGTCATCTGACACCTCGCGAAACGCCCCGTTCAGGTCAAGGGGTAGGGGGTAGGGGGAGGGGTCAAGACACCCTCCCCGCCTGCAAGCCGTCTTGCTGCTCTTGCTCACTCCAGCCCGCCCTCCCAACACATAAGCAGCACCCGAACCGCAGCATGTTCAGGGGTCGTCTTTGGATGGGCAGCCAGTGGGAACCCAAACAGACCCTGCGTGCGCACCGCTTGGGCGAGGTGTGCCATGCGTGCCAGGCGCGGCACCCGCGTCAGGTGCGCCATGCACCCCTTTGGGCCAAGCGTACCAGTCACGCCTGGTGTGTCAGAGGCGACACGCGATTTACGTGCGCCATGCGTGCCGCATGCTCCAGCCGCGCCATGTGCGCCAAGTTCGGGGCACGCGCAGAGTGTGCCAGGTGCGCCTGCGCACGTGGCAGTACACACTGGGAAACGCGTCGGCCCTCACCACCCTTGTCGAAAAGCAGTGCGCACCCGTGGCTGGGTGGCCATCATGGTGTCTAGTGGGCCTGTACACAGCAGGCAGTACAGGGTCCGACTTCCTAGACTTACTTGGAAAAAGGGGCTTCGTTCCTTATTTACCGTTCCTTAGGCCAGGCCGAATACTGTATGCCAGCACCACCGCCGTCCTAGTCCACAGAGAGTGCTCAGTGATCGCGGGGAGCCCCCGCATGCTCCAGATTTTGCCTCGCAGTGCATTTTGCATTCTCTTGTTCACACGCGTGCTCGCCCTGCGCGCAGCAGGCAATGTGCGGGTACCCCCGCCGACCCTGCCAACATACAGTGCGGTTTTTAATACATGCTCCGCGTGCGGATCATGTATTAAGCATGCAGGGATTTAGTATTAAAAACGACGACGAGTTCATGCATATATTATTCATAAATTAAGCATGTATTAACAATCCTATATGTTTAAACATCAAGTTTTTTAAACACTGCCCTGTATGTATATGTATATGTATATATATATGTATACATTCACAAAGTGCTCGCGCCCCCCCATATCATGACCCAATAGTTGGCCCAAAAGTTCTAGGCCTCCTGGATGAGGTCGTAGTAGACAGGGCCAGAGGATCGCGCCGCATCACCGATTCGGCTCGACGTGCAGCCCGATTTGCTTCACGCCGACGTCGCTGATCTATCGCCGATGTCGAAGATGCATCGCCGGTGCATCGCCGATGCATCGCCCATTCATCGTTGACGCGGCTCGATCCTCCGACCGCATCTACTCCGACCCCATCTAGGAGGCCTCTAAAAGTGGACTTCACATTTTTTCCCGGAAAGGGCGCGGGCCCAGGGTTCGTCTGAGGTGGGCCAGCGGATTCTTTTCCTGATAGTTATCGAGGTCGAGGTTGGCCAGCGGAATTTGTTTTGAGGATGTCTAGAGCGAAACGCTGGTTTTGCAGAGTTGGGGGATGTCTCGAGCGGGGGCCTCGTGGGGGGCCAGAATTCAGAGGATGTCTCAAGCGAAATGCTTGTTTTCACGTGCCCAGGTCGGCCAGAGGGGGTATCCAAACATGGTTGTCCGTCGCTGGCGCATCAGACGACCGCATGTTGGTCATCCCCCCTGTTGGTTTTACGTGTACAGGCCATCAGGAGGGTATCTAACATGGTGGTCCCGAGATCACGTGTTTTCACGTGTCCAGTCCACCCAGGGGTGTATCTAACATGGTGGTCCCGAGCTGGAACCACGTGTTTTTACATGTTCAGGCCACCCAGGATGAGTATCTAACATTGTGGTTTTGGTCTGGAGCCGTGTGTTTTCAAGTGTCCAGGCCACCCAGGGGTGGTATCTAACATAGGGGTCTGTCCAGGCCACCCACGAATATATCTAACATGATTGTCCCGAATTGGAATCATGTGTTTTTACGTGTCCAGGCCGCCCAGATGGGGATATCCAACATGGCGTCGGGCCCAACGCCGAATTATCAGAAAACGCAAGGGGGGCCGACAAGCGCTACCCGAACACATATCCCAGTGATGTTTTCTTGCTCTGAACAGGGGGTTGCGCTTTGGGGGCCTCTCCAGGGAAGAATGGGAGCGCGAATTCAGCGTATTCTGGCCACGCAGGGGGGTATCTAACATGGCTGTCCCGAGCTGGAACCACGTGTTTTTACATGTCCTGGCCACCCAGGGGGTATCCAACATGACTGTCCCGACCAAGGACCACGTGTTTTCAAGTGTCCAGGCCACTCAGGGGTGTATCTAACATGGTTGTCTCGAGCTGGCTCCACGTGTTGTTACGTGTCCAGGCCATCCAGGGGGGCATCTAACATGGTTGTCCCGAGCAAGGGCCACGTGTTTTAACATGTCCAGGCCACGCAGGGGTGTATCTAACATGGTTGCCCAGAGCTGGCACCCACGTTTTTACGTGTCCAGGCCGCCCAGGGGGGTATCTAACATGGTTGCCCAGAGCTGGCACCATGTGTTGTTACGTTTCCAGGCCACCCAGTCGGGTGTCTGACATGATTGTCCCGAATTGGAACCACGTGTTTTTACGTGTCCAGGCCGCCCAGGGGGGCATCCAACATGGCGTCGGGCCCAACGCCGAATTACCAGAAAAC